CTTATAATATGATGTTCAGAAATCTTTGATTTCCTGACAGTAGTCAGATCTTACATTTTTAAATTGCCAGAAAAAAATAATAAAGCCCTCTTTTTTTCTCTTTCCTTTTTTTTTTTTTTTTTTTTTTTTGAGAGGAGGAGACCTTATCTTTTAAAACTGGGTAATGTGTATAGAGAGAATAAGCCACCTTTTATATTTCACATAAATTTGCCTTAAATTAGTTGCACTTTATAGAGACTCAGAAAATGTCTTTTCTTTAAAAGATAGGCCTTTTCTGTTTGTAAATATTTAAAAAGAAAGAAAGATTGTGCATATTGTGTGGAAAGTAGGAAGAATGATTTTGAACAGGATATGAACAAATGACTTGTTATTAAAAATTGCTAATCTGATCTGGCTAGCAGTTGAAACTGTGTCCACATCTCCTTAAGGCATCCCTCAAAGGCCCAGATGCTGCTGTGGGCTTTGGCTTGGTGGCTGGGGGAATAGATTCAGGGAGTAGACACTGTGAAGACAGTGCTGACTCCAGGCTCAGGAAAGTAGGATTCTGGTACTTTGTTCCTGTTCCCTCAGCTAATCCCAACCTGGGAATCAGAGAAGTCTTGGGGATTTTTCTCATTTTTAATCTTATTTCAGGGTTTATGAGCCTAAAACCTTATCCATTTTCTCTCTTCAGAAAGCTAGGTTGTCTTCCCCCACCCACCCACTCAAGTTTATCTTAAAGCTATAGCTGGCTTCCACCTCCAGTACCATCTCCATTCTGAATGGCAGGGCTAACGTCCCCTGGTCTCTGTCTCAGATTGACCATCCAGAGCTAAAGCTAGGCCTCTGATTTTGACCCAGGAAACAGCACCCCGTGAGATTTTACCTGAGCGCTAATGAAGAACCTGGTATGTTTCTCTGTGGGAAGAACAAGGCCAAAAAGGTTATGAAATGAAACATATGAAATCATATTTGATATCCTTATAGTTAGCTCAGAAGTAGCTAGAGGTTTTCTGTCCAGAGGATGCCAAAGTATGGCAGGGCAGGCCTGGAGCAGGGGCCTTCATGCGATGGTAGCAAGTTTTTTCAAATCTAATAAAAGCAAGTGCAATACTCCCTTCAGATACTTTGGTGGACCTGGACAAATGGACTAGAAGGAATAATACTTGCATGTCCCCTGTATGTTGAGTCTAAACTTGACGTGTTGTTCCTAGAAGCAGTCTTTGGGCAACACAAAAGGAAAAAGCTATATAACTTTGCTTTAGGCCAAGTCGGGGAGAAACTAGAGAAGCTTTCATGACACAGACTTCTTTCATAGAGATCATTTCCTTTTTAACTTTAAGTTGCCCTGTCAGCCTTGAATACAGTCCAGCATCCTTAAATATTTAAGGGCTGATTTTTTTCTTTCTGATATTCAGTTTGGTGTGAACTAATCTTAAATTTTTTTCTAGAAGTATTAAAATTTAGTTAAAGCAAGATGAGTCTTTTTCCATGAATGTGTCTGCTTATCTCATAATGGCTTATGCTTCTCCCTTTTTTTATTTTTTATTTTTGTTAACATTTCTTTTGCTCATCCAAATGATTTCACTTTCTTGGAAAGGTTAAAATATAGTATAAAATTAACCTGGCACTTTAGATAACTTGAAGATAATTCTTATTCTCTGGCTGCCTTCCATGCCCCCCTTTTTTTAAATATATACTTCCTTACAGATTTTATAACAACCAAATAAAATTCTAGCAATAAATTGAATTATACTGCTATATTTGTATATACTGTACCATAAATAGTATGTCTGTACCTGGAAGGTATTTTTTTCAAGAACTGATTTATATGAAATATACTTGAGGGTAATGTAGCTTGTCCTTTTCCGTTTCAAATTCTTATTCATAGGCAGATACTTTGAAGACACTTTAACTCTTTGCTGTATGTACTTTTCTTTTGCATCAAATAGCTATAGGTGAAGTCTGTCTTGTTTTTTAGTTTATCTTCTGTTCTTCCCACCTCGCTCAAGCTTGTCTGTCTAGCAGCACCCCTGAGCCAGTGTGTAGTACCATCTTTTCCCCTACCAAGTTTGGCAGAGGTGTTTATGCTATACTCTCAGACCTATGAATACCCTTGTCATCCTGCCTGAGAAAGTACCGTATCTTCCAGGCAGAAGTAGGGTATATTGAACTCCTTTGCTCTAACTTGAACATACCCACTGGCTTAAGAAAAGAGCCCCATAAGCCTGCTCAGTGTTGATTTGGGATTTTTATTTATCTTTACTTACCCAGCCTGTGACTTGTGTTCAGCTGTAATCAAGCCTCATCTGCCACAACTCAGCTCTGAGAGGAAGATTGGGTAGTGATGGTGAATTTGGTTTTGGTTTTGGTTTTAAATCCTTTTAGCTTTTTAGCCAGCAGCTCCTACTGCTTCTTTCTTAAGTTACCCAAAGCACTGCTTCTTGGTCCTTTTTTTCTTTTGCCTTGTACTATCTGATAAAATGTTTACTAAAAGAGCCTCCCCATAAAACAGAGAGGCAAAAAGGTAGTGTAGAAAGAGAAGACCCAAAAGAAGAGAGTACCTAACTCTGAGATGACTGCAGTGTCATCTAAAGGGCAGAGGGGTGCCTGGCACTCAGGAATGTGTCTGATGCAGCAAAGCTGAAGAGTGGACACCCCTCACCTGTTGCTGGCCATTCTCCCTTCCACTGGAGTTTCCTTTCTTAACAGTTGCTGTACATAACCCCGTCGGCCCCCTCACGGTCCTGCCGGTCACAGTTGAGGATTTTGACTGTGATGGCCTCATACTCATATGATGGCCTGTTGAGCTGTTTTTAGTGATAGTTTTTTTTGCTACACACCTCATTGGCTCGCTTACCAACACCAGCTAGATGTGGACCCTTCTCTCACATCCAAACCAGAACACATTTGGGTATTCCTGAGACTTTATAGAGCGTGTATTGTTTGTTATACGAACCTAACCTACCTTGTTGTTTTCTCATATTAAGAAATATAAATCTATTTTGTTTTAGTGGAGCTATTTTGGTAATGTATTAATATGAGCAATTTTGGTTGTTTATGGCGTGAATTCAAGGTTTCCATGATTTGATTTTAGCTTTGCTTATTTCATATCAGTAATATAGCCATTTTAATTTATCTAAATAAAACGTTTTCTTTTTCTCTCACTGTGTCTGAGTAAAGCCTCTCTCACTCCCCCAATTACTAAGAAAAAAAAATATGCTTTGATCCCTGTTTTTATGGACTCCTTACACCTTTTGAAAGCAAGGAGTACTAGATGCTGAGCACCAAGTAATGTTCAAGAATCTGTCTTAAAGATGGCAATATTGGGCCTGAAGAAGCAAAGGCTGCAGGGCACAGGCTTTAGGCATCTCCAGGGTGGGAAGGGTGGGTGGGGAAGGAATGAGCCCCCACCCCTGAGTCAGCCAAGAAGCACCACTTAGGCCTATTTTATATATATTTTTTTAATTTTTAATTTTTATTTTTTAAATTTTTCTCTATCTGCCACTGACACTGTAATATTTTATATTTAGAGATTCAGCATAAGAGCATGTTTGCAAGAAATATTCCATTGCCTTTAAAAAGGGAGTGGGGCCCCCGCTTGAAATCTATCACTAGAGAGGGGTCATATAGGAGCTAGAGGTTTTTTTACACATAGAAATATAAGAAAAAAAATAACTCTACATATTTGCTATATTCTGGGAATCTCCTCCTCCTCTCCCCCGCACACACACAAAATCTGGGTGGGCTGGGCACGGTGGCTCACGCCTGTAATCCTAGCACTCTGGGAGGCCGAGGCAGGAGGATTGCTTGAGGTCAGGAGTGTGAGACCAGCCTAAGCAAGAGTGAGACTCTGTCTCTACTAAAAATAGAAAAATTAACCAGGTATTGTACCTGTGGCTTGTACCTGTAATCCTAGCTACTCAGGAGGCTGAGGCTGGAGAATCGCTTGAACCCAGGAGTTTGAGGTTGCTGTGAGCTCGGCTGACACCATGGCACTCTAGCCCAGGTGACAGAGTGAGACTCCATATAAAAAAAAAAAAAAATCCGGGTGGCCCTTCCCCTCAAGGAAGACCATACATACAGCTTAGGTCATTGACAAATAGGGTGAAAGGCATTGTTCATTTCCAAAATCATTTATCTTAAAATTCATTTTATCTTAAAACTGAGTCCAAATATTCTGTATTATCTTTGTGTCTCCTTTTAGGACCGTTTCCAGAAGGTATGAAATTTATTAATATTCTCATGTAGTACATCCTAATGTTTGGGGAGGGCGTGCATCCCAAAACTATGGATATATTTTTGTGTATAATTTTAGGGGGGTTCACTGACCAGCCCTCCTCCAAGCCAAGTTAATGACACCCTACACACTTGTATTCACCAAGTGTTTTCTAACAAGACATCATCAGGAAAGGTGTCTTGTGGGAAGATGTGATGGGAAGATCAGGAACTTTGCTGCCAGGCAGATGTACATTGGAGAGCTGGCTCTGCAACATAAGAAAGATACAGCATATGCCCCTGGAACCTGTCTCTTCATCTATCCATTTGGCAGGGTTCTTGTGAGTTATTAGAAATAATGTATAAAGACACATAAGAACTCAATACATCACAGATATTAATAACAAAGAATGCAGTTCAGCCAGTAGTGCAGTGTGGCTCATGGGTCTCATAATGACTTGCTTTGCCTATGACATAGCCACTGTGAGTCACCATAGTCATGTGCCCTCAGCAGCTATCACTCTTGTGGCAGCTGTGCTTCACATCCCACAGAATAGCAGTGCCTTTGGCTCCCTAGCCCAAGGCCTGGCACAAATTTTGGGGTCTTAAAAAAATACAGGGTGGATAGATATTTAGTGCGTCCACAAGTACCAGTTCAGTGTGTCTCCCCACGGCCAACCTCCAGTTCCCATTTATAGTCCCATTTACATTGGTGAGATTCAGTGACCAGCTTGGTTTGCAAAGTACCCCTCATCAAACGGCAGAAGGACATTGCCCTCCTAACAGCAAATGAGACACAAGGGAACCTTGGACTTCTTTTAATCTTTCATAATGTGACATCAAGATGGGCCCTGACCTCTGTGTCAATAACACCTCCCAGAGTTTAGCTCCATTTCTTACTCCGCACCTGATAGCTGCAGCTCCCGTAGGGAGAGGAAGTTACAATTCTGAGGCAAAAGGCTTGGCATTGAAGCGGTGGTCTCCGTGGGCCAGTGTGGGGAGGGAATGGAAGTTGACATTCCTTTCAGAAGAGGTGGCCAGAGGGTAGGAGACAGAGTGGTTCAGCATGGGTGGCAGGTTGCAGAGGGATAGGGGAAGGGGCGCCTCCTGAAAGATGGGAATCGGGAGCGGGGAGCTGGCCTGCGGCTGTGGCATCAGCATCGGGGAAGGTAGGGACTCCTGTAGGGGCAGCTGCCGTGCAGGTTGCAAGGGAACCGGCGCCTCTGCTTTGGGGCTGCCGTCTTGGACAGCATAGCTCCTGCCTTCGGGGATGTCCAACTCCCACCGAGGATCTGGATTCTGGACCTCAGTCTCAGACTTGGTGACAGCCGGGGGAGGGCCTGTGTTGATGGCTGCATTCATGCCATAGTGCCGTCGCTTATTAATCCAGTACAACAGTGGGCTATAGGTGAATGTGGCAACTTTCATCACCTCCACCCACTGCTGGGCTCGCTCTTCCCGCCGCAGGTTCTTCCTCCAGTGCAGAAAGAGAATGCAGCCGCCAGTTACCACGGAACACAGCCCCAGGAATCCAAAGTACAGTGAGACCCACACTGAGGCAGTAAGAAAGAAAAAGAGGCAGGCTGGCTGAGAGCTCTAGCTAGGGGCCTCTCCCTGACTTAACCCTTAGTCAATCACTCCTTCCACTTAACTGCTCTCACCTTCCACCCCTCCGTCCTCATTGACTTGCCTCTTCATTCTTATTCAGTCACAGCTAGATTTCCAGGGAGTTTAAGCGCCACCTTTAGCTCTTTACAGATCAAGAAGGCCGAGTGGGCCGATCAGGAAGGGGACATGGCCTGCCCAGCTCAGTCAAGCCTCTGGTTCCCAGCCCAGGACCCAACTGATCCATCAGACTAAGGAGCCTCACGAAGAGCAAGGCCATCAAGGGAGTAAAAGTTTACCAGTTGACAGGGACACCAGTGTTCCCTCCCACTCCACCACATGCCTTCACCATTCAGCTGTGATTGTCCTGGGCTATTCACAGTATCTCTTCTGGTTGGGCAGAGCATGACGTCTCTGCCTTAGTTTTCTAGAGGAGACTATCTCCTAACTGCTTAGCACTCCTCCATATAGGCAGCCACCATCCTATCCATGCAAAGGATCTTCCCTGAGTGTTTGCCTGAAGGCAAGGGACAGGGATTGGAGGGGCACTTACCGCCAGGGAGGCTCAAGTCCTCCCTCTGAGAATCCATGTAGTTGAGCTTTGGTACCTGGCTGATGTCTCTGGGTAGAGGGAACTCACCCACCCATCTGTCCAGCCAATAGGAGTCCCCAGAATGCCCAGGCCCCATTGTTCCCTAAAGGAGAGGCCACTGGGTTCTGAGCACTAGGCATTCCAGGGGCAGTGGTTGTGGAGTGGTCCTGGGTTCATGGAAGGACGGACTCCATCCAGTGGCATCTTGTGGTTATAGTGTTCTCTACTACTTTGACAGAGACTGATCCACCTACTAAATTGTGTGCCCTGCCCCTTACAGTGAACCCACAGAGCAGTCCCTAGGAAAAGGGCCCTTGTTCCTTCAGGGGCTTATCTATGTTACTGGTCTTTAGGGAACAGTTGATGGATACCTGTCGCCAGGGGGAAGCAGGGCAGGGGACACAGAACATTGGGCAGCCCTGCACTCAACAAATCTGACCAAGTTGTCAGGAGAACACCTGTTTAAGAGAACCATCTGGTCAACACCTCCTTCTCTGGCTCCCAGTGTCTCTCTTTTGTTTACTTACCTTCCTTCAACAAGTGCTGGCTGGTGTTTCCTGGGCATCAGGCCCTGTGGGGGCTCCCTACCATCTGGCCCTGCATCTCTTTCCAGCATACCCTCCCTCTTCATCTTTCACACACCTTCCCTTTCTGGCCAGGCCCGACTTGTTAACAGACCCTGTTCATTCAGGTCTCTGGAGTTGTGCTCATGCTGCTCCTTCACCAGGGAGCACCCCTCCCACCTTCCCACCACTGAACACCTCATCCCGCTGGGCTCAGCTCGACCCCTACTCTGTGGCAAACAGTCCTTTTGGTTGACTTCCTATAATCACATCATCTCCAGTTTCAAGGGACACTGAGAGTTGTCTAGTCCAACTCCCATCAAATGCTTGAGTCCTGGGATAGATCTTCCTGACCCAGCCACTAATCCTCCCAACTCAGGACTCACTTGCATCAGGAACTTGCTTACCACCTCCTGAGGCAGCTTGGTCCATTTATGGGCAGTTCAATTAGAAAGTCTTCCCTAATGAAGCTTACTTAAGTCAGCCTCCCAGTAGGTTGCACCACTGATCCTACCTAGGCTTCTTGGCACTACTTTAATTACTCCTCTATTAATAATCCTCCAGTGTGTGACTTAAAGCACTTTTCCACACAGAGTTCTCTCCAGGGTCCGCTTACCCTTGGCTCCTACATCAGTGGCCCCTGCTTTTCAGGCTCCTTTGCTGGTTCCCCCTCTTTCCCCTGATCTCTAAATGTTAGCATGCCCTAGGGCTCAATCCTTAGCACTCTATTTACATCCATTCCCTCAGTTATCCAGGTACATGGTTTTAAACATCGTACATACATTGACAATTCACAACTGTATATATATATCTCCTCTACTCAGAACTTTAGACTCATATACCGAACAGTTTGGTTGACATCCCTCCTTGCCAATCTATGGAATAATCTCTAACATCTCTGAAACCAAATTCCTGATCATCCATCCTCCAAAATCTATTCTATCTACAACCTTCCTCCTCTTCGTATTATACCATCTCTGCCCTTCCAATTGTTCAGACCAAAACCCTGCAAGTCATCCTTGACTCGTTTCATTCTATCACACCCACATTCACCTATTAGCAAAATCTTTAGGCTTTTCTTTCAAAATATACCGCAAATCTGACCACTTTTCCATTGCTATCATTTTAGTCCAAGTACTACCATCTCTCACCTGGATTACTGGTCTCCCTGTAGGGTGACCAACATCCTGGTTTGCCCAGGACTAAGGGGGCTCTCAGGACATGGGGTTTTCAATGCTAAAACCAAGAAAGTCCTAGGTAACAAATTAGTCACCTGTGGGAGAGTTTCCATCCTTATCCCACATACCCTAAATTCCACCAGCAGCCAGAATGATCTTTTTTATAATAAAAGTAGATCATGTTACTCCTCTGCTCAAAATCTGCAGCGACTTCCCATCTCACTCTGATTTAAAATCTTAGTCCTTAAACAAGGCTTACAAAGCTCTGAGCAATCTAACCCTCCCTATACTTTCTTAGTCTCAGTTCTACTGCTGTGCCCTGACTTACATCGACACAATAACCTCTTCATCAGGGCCTTTGCACTTGCTGTTCCCCCTACCTGGAATGCTATTCCTCCAGATATCCATACAGATCATCCCTCATTGCCTTAAGGTCTCTACTTGAGTGTCCCCTTATCCCCCTCTCTTATTCTGCCTTTTCCCCCTGCATAGCATGTAGCATCACCTAACATTATTCATTCATTTATTTATTTATTTTGTATCTCACTCCAATGGAATGTAAGCTCCATGAATGAATATAAACACGGATCTAAGAATTTCAGAAAATGATAACTGCTATGAAGAGAATAAAATAGAGTAATGGGATAAAGACTATAAAGGGATGGGGTGGTTCATCAAGATAGGTTCCTTTGAGGTGCTGACAGGTGAACTGAGCCGTAGATGACTAGGAAGCCACACAAGATCAGAGCAGAAAGAACAGCAAGTGCAAGGACTCCAAGCCAGGTACGGGTGGGCACCCTTGAAGAACTTACTAATTATTCACTACACTGTTCCTGGCCCAGGGCAGGGCCCAGGGCTGATCTCCGTGAGTGCAGGCTGAGTTGAGCAGGGTTGAAGCCTCTATCTCTGCCCCAGCTGGGGTTTCTGTCAGGTCAGAGCCAGACAGGAAGGACTTCTGTGCTATCACAGAAAGCCTGCTCCAGGCCTGGCCCTGTGCTGCGAGCAGGTGAGACACAGAGATGTTGATCACTGTCCCTGACCCCAGGAGCTCACACCTGATTCAGGGGATCAGGAAGATGGTGGCATTTGGGTTGAGAGAAAGGGAGAGGAAGGAGAGAGCATTCCAGGGATCAAAATAAAAGCCTAAATACAGACTTGTCCAAGAACAAATCCTGATGGTCTGTGGGAGGGGAGAGTAGTTCAGTTTGGCTGGAGTTCAAGGTGGATGCCAGCAGGAAAAGGGAGTCGAGGTTTCAGAGACAACTGGCATCTTGAACTCACCTCTTAGATAGAACTTGGACTAGTCACTTAACGACTCTCAGCCTCAGTTTTCTCACCTGTAAAATGAGGATAATGCCTACCTCACAGGGTATGAAGCCGACAAAATGTCCTGCACACAGTAACCTCAGTAAAATAAGTTGCTGCTGTGGTATAGTTGATGAAAGGGCCTCCGATGCTGAAGGGCAGACTGTCACAGCGAGTGCCAAGTGAATTTAAAGAGGCCTGGAAGTTCGAGCCAGCTTTACAGAGGAGACTTGGCACGCAAAGGCTGCTGGTCCCGAGTGGGAGGGCGTGAATCTGGGCAGCCTCCCGTGAGGAGGCGGGCCTTGGCACACCCCGCAGCTAGAACGCGCGGAGCAGGGGCCAGAGCGGCGAGATCCCACTCCGCCCCGCCTTGCCCCTCTCCTGCGCCCGGAACCTTGGGTGTGCGGAACCTCGGTGCTGCAGCGCGGGCGCGGAGGACTCGGAGGGGGATGGAGCGGGCGCGCGGGCCGGGGGCCGAGGCCAGCGCGCCTGAGGAGGAGGAAGAGGAGGTGGAGGTGGGGGTGGGGGCTGCCATGGCGGCGGGTGGCGCGGGACCGGCGGTCCTGCAGGTGGCCGGCCTCTACCGGGGCCTGTGCGCGGTGCGCAGCCGCGCCCTGGGCCTGGGGCTCGTGTCACCCGCTCAGCTGCGCGTGTTCCCGGTGCGCCGCAGCTCGGGCAGGCCCGAGGGGGGCGCAGACGGCAGTGGGGTCGGGGCGGAGGCCGAGCTCCAGGCCAACCCCTTCTACGACCGCTACCGCGACAAGATCCAGCAGCTGCGCAGGTGCGGGCCCGGATCCTCGGCGGCGGGCGGGGAGGGGGAGGAGGGGCGGCGCGCGGCCCCAGTTTATGGGCCTTGCGACACCCCTGTGAGGTGGGCGCTAATACTGTCCCCACTCTACAGAGGATATATCGAGGCTCAGAGAGGCTAGGTCACTTGCCCAAGATCACTCAGCTAATTAGCGTCAGAGCTGGGCGTCTCTGCAAAGCCCAGGCTCTTTCCACATTTGTCTGCGTTTGTGCTTTAGTTCTAGAAACGCTAAGGTGGACTTTTATGACAACCGTGTGAGGCAAGCAGTTCAGAGAGAGCCGTTCTCGTTATTAAACTGGAAAAATGCCTTCCAGAGAAGGAACTTGACTTACTCAAGGTCACTTATTGAGTCAACTGAGGCCTGGCCCAGAGCTCAGATTCCAGATCTCCTAGTTTAGGCCCCTGACTGCAAGGAAAGGAGATTGGGGGTGGGAGGAGCGAGTCACAGTTGATCAATTGAACGTTCTCAGTAAAATGAGGAAACTGAGGATTAGAGAGAGTAAGGGACTTGTCAGAGGTCACACACTGGGTTGGATTTGTCTGACTCTGAATCCTGGGTGCTTAACACTACCCGGCAGCTTCCAGAGGCAAGTATCTGGAGATTAGAGGGGTTTGAGGTGGTTAGGAGAGGGCCATGGTAGGGTCCGAAGAGTTCAAGTGGAAAGAACTGAAGAATATCAAAGATGAAACTTAAAGGCTTGGGAGAGAATTTGTCAGGGTAGGAAGGCAGTTGTCTTACGAAAGGAAACCAAAAATTGAATACTGTAAATTCTGAGTTCTGTCTCATTTCTACTTCCACTGCCTTAGTTTACTCCTTAACTCCTCCATCATCCTCGAACTAGTGTTCCCCACCTCCATTCTTGGCCCTCTCTATCCCAGTGTATCTCACTGCTACTAAAGTGATCTTTCTCACTTTCTGAAACAATGGTGGAATAAATGAGTATTTTTGTTCTCTTTCCAACAGCATTTAGGTATTCTCAAGTATTTGTCATCTTAAAAGCTTTTCTTGACCTACATTCCCATCCAGCCTTCTGTCTTTGATCCCTCTTTGATCCCATTTAAACACAGGCATCTCTGAAGAGTTATCTACTCATACTCTGAGTACTTAATCAGCTCCCATTCATGAATAGATGAATGACTGGTTTTGCTCTTCTCTGCTTGATCATTCCCATCAACAACGTTTACACATACTGTTATCTTTTAAAGAGTCCAAAGTGCCCCATTGACTGAATAACATCCAAATTCCTTGGTGTTCACACAAGGTCTTCACACTCTAGTCCCTGCTGGTCTCTTTAGCCTTATCTATTACACAAACTTCCTTTGAGCATGGTCCAGCACAAAAAAATTAGAAGGGGATATTCCAGGTAAGGGGAGCAGCAACATAAACAAAAGTACAGAGGCATGAAACCACCTCAACCATTTAGGGATGTTTGAGCAAATTTCATCACAATATCTGTAGCACTTTCATGTACTTATTTACATGTCTGTCTCTCCCATGAAATAGTAAGCTCCCTGATGTAGGGACTCTGTCTTGTTTGTTTCTATATCCCCAGAGGCCAGCAAGAGCTCTGCTGCTCAGGCTGCCCCACGTCCTCCCTACATGTTCACCATGGCAGGCCGAGGTGTGGCTGTGGCCGCTAGCAGGGCCAACCTTGCTCCTGGTGTAGGTCCCAGGGCTGCCTGCAGCCCTAGCCAGGCAAGCACTATGCCCCAATGAACAGGAACCCCTGGTGTGGCTCTTCACTGAGGAGGAACTGATCCACCATGCAGAGAAGGAAAAAGATCAGCCCATCTATGTGGCAGTGAAGAGAATGGTGTTCAATGTCTCCTCCAGAAAGGAGTTTTATGATGCCTTGTCCAGAAAGGTCCACACAAGGGGTAGCCAAGATGTCCCTAGATCCTATAGACCTCACCCATGATATTACAGGTCTCATGGCCAAGGAGCTGGAGTCCTTAGATGATGTCTTCACAAAAATGTACAAAGTGAAATATCCCATCATGAGCTACATAGCCTGAAGAATTCTTAACAAGCACGGCACACCAACCTGGACTTCAAGTGTGAAGACCAGCCCCATTTTGAATGCAGGATGAGTTCTGATGTTTCATTGGCAGGAGCAGGTTCTTTGGAGGGTAGGTCAGGGAGACACTCAAATGCTAAATCTTCTACAATATAGCCTAAAACCTCTAAATCACTAGGATCTGAATAAAACAGATATTTCACCTATAGGGGCAAGGGGAGTTATCCAAGAACTGGATGTATTCAAATAAAAGCTTGACACCTAGTAGGGACATTGTAGGATTCTTACCTGAGTAAGTGATCCAAAAAGATTACCTCAAAGTATCTTTCCCTTCCTGAGGATTCTAGATACCCAGAGTGTAAGTATCTGAGGGACCAAGCCTTGTGTCACCCTGGGGAATAGCCTATAGGAGAAAAATGTTACACAGGCCCCTTGAGGAGTATCAATAGTTGAATAACTGGATTTCTTGTTCTACTTTCTTGATTTCTGAGCTCATGTCCAGTCCTTACTAATTGAAGGGCAAATCCTTCAGCCTCTCTGAATGCCAGTGTCCTTAAAATGTGATGCTTTGTTATTTCAAAATCCAAAAAGGTCCAGGTGGTTTACTTTTTGGTTTACCTTTGATTAGGTCTGACCCAGCTGCTTTTGAGTCCCGCCTGGAGAAGCGCAGTGACTTTCGGAAACAGCCTGTGGGGCGCTCCAGGCAAGGTGATTTTATCAAATGTGTGGAGCAGAAGGTAAGATCCCCCTTTTTGAGTTGTTGGTTTACCAGCACTCCAACCTCCTTCCCCCAATCCTTGTCCTTGAAATGGGTTCACTAATGGATCTACTGGTCAACTGAACATAGACTCTCTCAGTCTCCATCCATATATGTGTATATCCTGCTCTTTCTAGGCAAGGCACTGTGGTCATGGTGGAGATAGAAAGCTATGAGAGGGGCAGTTTCTGCTCCTAGGAGGTACAGTCTAGTGGTCAAGGCGAGGCACACAGGGCAGTGGGCTGTAGGGATCAGGGAAAATTTCCCAGGGGAAGTAGAACCTGACCTGGGCTAGGAAGAGTGTGAAGGATTTAAATTAAGCCGAGAGGAAGGAGTAGGACTTGATGTAGAGCAGGAGTCATCAAACTTTTTCTGTAAAGGACCTAATAGTAAATATTTTAGACTTTGTGGGCCATGCGGTCTCTGTTGTAGCTACTCAACTCTGCTATTATATAGTGCAAAAGCTGGCATAGCCAATAAGTAAATGAGTGGGTGTGGTTGTGTTGCAATAAAACTTTACTTACAAAAACAGTTGGCAGGCTGTATTTAGTTTGCTGACAACCAACCACTCACCCCAACATCACTCCCACTGCCATGTTGAGGAATTAGCTTAAACAGAAGAAGAGCTTTGAAAGTAAAAGGAGTTTCAGGAAACAGTAAAGTACCTGGTCCAATTAAAAGGGAGAGGAATGGGCTGGGCATGGTGGCTCATGCCTATAATCCCAGCGCTTTGGGAGACTAAAGTGAGAGGATTGCTTCGGACCAGGAGTGAGACCAGCCTCAGCAAGAGCAAGCCCCATCTCTACAAAAAATAGAAAAATCAGATGAGTGTGGTGGCACATACCTGTAGTCCCAGCTACTTGGGAAGCTGAGGCAGGAGGATCACTCAAGCCCAGGAGTCTAAGGTTGCAGTGAGCTATGATGACGCCACTGCACTCTAGACAGGGTAACAGGGCAAGACCCTGTCTCAAAAAATAAATAAATAAAAAATGAAAATAGAGAGGAAAGTGTTAAGACTAAAGGTATAGGTTAGGCATTAAACTCTAAGCTGAGGCATTTGGGCTCAGTGAGCAGAGGCAGGATAACTTAGCTGCTAAGAGGATAGACTCTGGAACCAGGTGCCAAGAACGGAAACCTAGCTCTTCCACTTACTAGCTAGGTGACTCTGGAAAATTATATAACTTTTCCATGCCTCAGTTTGCTTATCTGTAAAACAGGAAATTAACAGTACCTATCTCATTGAGTTGTGCTGAAGATTGAATGAGATAATACCATGTAAAACTCTTTAGCCCAGTCCGGGGCATATAATATGTACTTAATTCATATTAGCCATTGTTATCTTTAAATAAAGAATAATTATTTATTTGGGAAATAAATAATTTAATAATTTAAATAAATTATTTATCTGGGAAATAATTATTCTTTATTTAAAGGGGAAAAGAATAATTAGCTGTGTATAGGAAAATTAATCTATTGCAGTGTTTTTCAAACTTTTTGACCATAACCCGCAGTAAGAAAGAAATTTTACATTGCAATTCAGTACACATATATGTATATGATTGTAACTGAAACATTTTTACAAAACAATGCTTACTTTTATAACATGCTGTACATGCTTTTTTAAAAGATGAAAAAGAAAAATAACAAGAATGTACAGCATTCTTGTTATGCTGTACATTCTTGTTATTTTTCTTTTTCATCTTTTAAAAAAATTCTGATCATAATCCACTAAATTGATTTCACGACCTGTTATTTGAAAAATACTAATCTAGGGTGGTGTACAGAACAAACTGGAGTGGGAGAGGCCAGAACCAGGAAGAATATGCAGTAATCCAGGTCTGGGCTGCAGAGAGCCTGAAATAAGGTAGTTATAGTAGAAAATTGGATTCTACATTGTGTTTTAAAGTCAAATTAGAGATATTTGTTTTACTTAGTACTTTTTTTTGCTGTGGATATCCTAAATTTTAAGATAATCTACTCAGTCTTAATAACTAGTTGAGTTAATTACAACAAGATTAATAGTCAGTGGGTTAATCATCACAAGTTTGAGGAACAAATTCAATCTCCTATGACAAACATAGTTTATAACTTTATGTGAACAAACAGCTCTTTACTATTAATACAAATATTGTAACATTGTCATTTCCTATAATAAACATATATAGTAGCAAGGTTGAAGTAAGTAGCTCTTGGAAATATTACTGCATTACAAACTTTCAGTATTATATGGGAAAGCTCTTTGCCCCTTTTTTGTAAATAGAAATTCACCTTTACAATGATAAGATGAAGAATAAGTAAAGATACAATTTAAATTATGGCAGCCCTTAGGTAAATATTCACTTACTCTCTTCCTTATCTAGCAAGATAGAGAGGAAAGCTAATGGCTAAACTGAACTCTCCATTCCCGAAGTCTTTTTTTTTTTTTAGATGAATTCTCACTCTGTTGCCCAAGCTGGAGTGCAGTGGTCTGATTATCATAGCTCACTGCAGCCTCAAACTCCTGGGCTTAAGCAGTCCTCCTGCCTCAGCCTCTCAAGTAGTTGGGACTACAGGTGCACACCTTCACACCCAGCTTATTTTTAAATTTTTGTAGAGACAGGGATCTTACCATGTTACCAGGCTGGTTTTGAATCCAGGGAGCCTCCCACCTCGACCTCCCAAAGTACTGGGATTATAGGTGTGAGCTACCTCACCCAGCCCCCAATGTCTTTTTTTTTTACTGATTCACTGGTTTCCAACCACACAGGACTCAAAATCCCCCTTTTACAATAAATTTTTTTAATTCTCCCTTTTCTACCCTAAAATGAAACAATGTAAGTATGTAGACAATATAACCTACTTATATGCATAATTTTAGGAGAGGGAGAAATCAATATAATGCCCTAACCATAATATAAAGGAAAGTATTTTTTAATAAAATACATATTTTAGTATGTAAATTTTGGGACACATCCATACTGTGAGACCTAATGTAGTCATCAGATGCTTTCACCTCTTTGTGAAATAAACATGAACACATAAGCAGCAAATGCTAACTGGTAAAGGGATATTATATTAGTAATTATAAAAACTGATGAACCGTAAGTAGTTTTGTTATCTGTGACCCAAGATTCCACAATGTATAGTTATCTCTCAAGTTATATAGTAGTTACATTTCTGGGAAATTTAGTGTTTATTAAAGCTGTGTTTAGGCTGGGCATGGAGGCTCATGTCTATAATCCTAGCACTCTGGGAGGCCAAGGCGAGAGGATCGTTTGAGGTCAGGAGTTCAAGACCAGCCCGAACAAGAGTGAGACCCCATCTTTACTAAAAATAGAAAAATTAACCAGACATGGTGGCGCACACCTGTAGTCCCAGCTACTCGGGAGACTAAGGCAGGAGGATCACTTGAGCCCAGGAGTTTGAGGTTGCTGTGAGCTAGGGTGATGCCATGGCACTCTAGCCCAGGCAACAGAGCGAGACTGTGTCTCAAAAAAGAGAAAAAAAGCTGGGTATTTTTGGGTGTTTTTAAAGCTAGGTTCTAGGCCCAGGTAATTATAAATATTAAAATATTGTAGGTATTTTCACCTACAAGGATGTCTGGCTAAACACTGAAAAGTTGTATAGGATGAGGGAAAGTTCTTTACTATGTAGAACTCATCTCATTTGGTACCACTATTCCTCCCATAAATGCAGATATCACTATCCAATAAATTATCATGACAACAATAAAATTGTCCCCACAGATTTCCAAAACATCCCTAGGAAGGAAGTTAAGTACCCATTTAAAGTTCTTATTAAATGCTTCTGAGACTTTTTGGTATATAGTTCCAACTATTTTAATTACCTTATTTCATCAATTCTATAGCCTACTTTATTTTCATATTTTAATATCTCAAAAATTGTCTTAAGATAGATGTGATAGTAAAGTATTGTGCTATTGTTTAATTGGCATCATTTTCTGATACGTAAAATAATGGTACATCTTAAGATCATTGGTGTCTTTGATTTGATAAAATATAATAAGCTTGTACTTAGGCTTATAGAAATTTTTTATTTCTATAAAAGGAAAAGATACACAGAGTATGGTGACCAAAAGGTAAGGATAGCTGTGCAAATGGAGGGTTTTGTTTGTTTTGTTTTCATAGTATACCTGAGAGTGAGTGGTATGAAAATGAAATTAATTCTTTCCTGTTTAGATTGTTTGCATAAGAAGGAACAGCTATACTAGAATGCTGCCAGTTTATAGGGTGTGACCAAAAAGACTGTATTCAACAAGTTTTTGTCTAATTTGTGCGTACAGGTTCCATGAGCATCCTCATGAAAAATTTGAATTAATAAAGTACAGAGTGACTAAAGTCATGGTTTTATGCATAAAGTGTTTTTCAGCCTCAGAATCCCAGGAGTAGACTGTACTCTTTCCCTCTTTAAAGGTATGGTCTTGAACTTAGAGATTGCATGGAAGACTCAAAACAGCCCATCCCTACTATCAGAAACAACTCAGAATTGGATTTTCTGGTTGTGGCCTTTATCAGAGATAATGGGCTAGGAGAAAAAATAATCACTTTCAGTTATTCTTGGCATTTTTTGAGGGGGAGTCTAATTTGATAGAGGAAATACTAAGACAGTACTAAAAAAGTCTCTGGTCTTCTGAGGATGACTGCCATCTAAGTGCTGTCAGAAATAAGAAGCAGCTTTGGATAACATATCTGTCCACTTCTCACCTCCTCTGTGGTTCAGTGTGGAGTAGGTCTGAGGATAAAGCATAGTAAACCCAAGTAGGCCTAATTCTGAAAGAAGTTCCTCATATCCATAGTGGCAAGTATAGAATGGACTCTCAATGCCAATAGATGATAATTGCTGACAAAGAAATCTTCTCATCTCTGCATCTCAGAATCTTTTTGTTTTTGCTTTTTTGTTTTTGTTTTGTTGTTGAGATAGTCTCACTCTGTCACCTTGGGTAGAGTGCAGTGGCATCATTGTAGCTCACTGCAACCTCCAACTCCTGGGCTCTAGTGATCCTTCTGCGTCAGCCTCCCAAGTAGCGGGGACTACAGGAACATGCCACAATGGCCAGCTGATTTTTCTATTTTAATAGAGATGGGGTCTCGTTCCCGCTCAGGCTGGTCTCGAACTCCCTCAAGCAATCCACCCGCCTCGGCCTCCCAGAGTGCCAGGATTACAGGCGTGAGCCACCGTGTCCAGCCATGCATCTCAGAATCTTAGTCAGAGGAAAGTTGTCTCACTAACAGTAACTTTTAGAACAATGTATATGATTATTATAAAGAGTGGAGAGAAGCCAGTTCTCGGGTACAAAATTAATTAAGAAGATTGGGCACCTCACCTAGTTTGGTGATCTGTTTCTTATGAGTAAAGTGTAGATTAATATCCTGTCTCATCATGTATTTCAGACAGATGCCTTGGGGAAACAGCCTATGAGCAGAGGATTTACTAAGGACAAGGTAGGTTTCTAATTAAATATAGGGTCCAGGTCTAAAGTAGTATGGAGCATCTATAACAAGAGACTGCAAGTTTGAACATATGAACTAGTTCAGTGATTTTGTGTAAGATGATATTCCAAATATAGAGATAAGAAATATTCCTGAAACTTTTGTGTCCTTGCCATGACACATTGCCTAAGTGTGGGTCCTGAGAGTACTCGAGGAAATACGAAGGAAATGTAGCAACACTCTTCGTTTCTATAGGAAATAGTTTAAAAATCAAAAATTTATTTGGTCTGTCACTTAATTTACAAATAAGGAGTCACTCCTGGTAGAATAGCAGTTAAATAAAAATAACCAGGCTTTCTCCTCTTACCAGCTGCAGAGTGCTGCATGACTCATTGGTGAGGATAAAACATTTGGGAAGGATATGGTGACCTAATAGATACTCACCAGAAATAGAACTGTGAAAACCTGCCTGGGCTTGGGCATTCACTTTATCTGAGCATGTGGGCTTTCTTATACTTTTTCTTTGCTTATGATAGATGGATTTGCTTCACTGTCCTGACATGTTTGTTTCCCACAAGCTTAGAGACATAGTTAAGCTGTTTTGTTTTGGTTTTTAATTGTTGGTATTAATTCCTTTTTATTTATTTTCTATTTCAAGACTCTCAGTTCAATCTTTAACATTGAGATGGTAAAAGAGAAAACTGCAGAAGAAATAAAACAGGTAATGAATGAAAACGAGTTGGCATACTCCATGAAAATGTGTGTTCTATGAACCAAATCTGAGAGTAGAAAGAAGCATACATTTTCTGACACATCTTTCTAGCCATAATGAAAGGTAGTCATAAAGGCAAAAATGATGAATTACAGGAAGTAGAATGGCATAAGAAAACTTGTCTTTCTTGGTCTTACTCTTATATGTCTAATTAACTCATATTTCCCCTTTCTTTTCCATTCCTATTGCCCACATTTTATTTAAAATCATCAGTATTCTGTGCCTGGATTACTGTACTGCCTTTTTAAAACAGGTTTCCTTGCTCCTATTTTTCCCATTCCACCTATAATATTCTCACCAGCTGAGTTTTCTTAAAGTTCTTCTTTCATTATGGAGAAACATTGTATGTATATTGGATAAGAACACAGACTGTAGAACCAAGCTTCTGGTTTTAAGTCCTAGTGTGACATTATTAGCTGCGTGACTTGGACAAGTTAGATAACTTCTCTGGGCCTCAGTTTCCCTAGTGTAAAGTGGAGATAATAATATTATTTACCTCATAGAGTTATTTGGAGAATTAACTGAGTTAACATGTATAAAGCATTTAGAACAGTGCCTGGCACAGAGTAAGTGCTATATTTATGTTTTTAAATAAATGAAAGGAAAAATATTATGTTAGGAACCTGCTCACAAATGATGCATGACTTCCCATATTCCTTTTCCTGCATTCCATTTCCTGCATTCTCCATTATTATAGGACCTCCTACAGGAAGCTTCCTGGAGACCTTCCTTCCAAGCACTCATAATCTATTGCATGTACCTCAATTTGCATTCCTATTTACATTTTCATGTCTGTGATCCTTTTCTCTGCAATTAGACTATTTTGTAGTTATATGAATTATATTTTAGGTAAATTAAGAGGATCAAAATAATAATAAAAGCAACATACTGTGTGCCAGATACTATGCCTAGTGCTTCATATGCATTATTTCATTAAATTCTCTTACCCCCCCTGTAAAGTAGGTGCTATTATTCTCAATTTACAATTAAGGAAACTGTGACTTAAAGAGATTCTATAACTTAGTGATAGATCTGGGACTGAAACCCGTGTCTATTTGACTCTGTGTCATATTCTCTAACAGGAAATTGTGCCCATTACCATGGGTTTCCTTTGAATGCTACATCATTTATTTTAGCAGGCATTTAATATCTGTTAAGTGTCAGGCTCTGAGCCAGACACAGAGATAAATGGGAGAATCCCCTACCTTCAAGGAGTTTTAGCCTAGTCAAGGGACAGGCACAAAAACAAATAAGATCAGTACAAAGTTCTAACTTCTGTTAACAGAGGCTTATGCAAAGTCTCAGGGAGAACATAGGCTGTGCCTTTGTTAAGAAGTACCAATGGAGCACAGACACCAAGCAAGTCGTTTAGGGGAGAAAGAAGTCAGACCCAGGAGCCCTGATCATATGACAAGTACGACTTAGACCTGTAGTTTTACATACATATTTGTGCTCATTGAAATATTTTTTTAGTAACAAAGATCAACTATATTAGGAACTATCAGTCTCATAAATGTCACTGTAGATTCATAAGCTATTATATCTACTAATATAAATTAAATCAGAATATACTGTCCTTAACTTGAGAAGATAATGTTTTGACATGCATAAAACAAACAAAAAAGAAAAAGCAAAGCAACCTTAGATTTCATTAATAGAGTGGTTTGCATAGATTCTAGCAGGTAATAGTTCTTTCATGCTCTGTGTTGGTTAGATAGATCACGCTTTGATTAGTAGCTTTAGTGGAGGCCCCACCTTCCAATAGAAATGTTAGCAAAGCAGAGCAACTCTAAAGGAGGTGACCCATTCTTCAACACCAGCTCACTCTGGTGTCACCTTGGTTATGATGCCTTCCCCTACTTCTCTATGCCTTTGTTACTTTTATTCTCTGCATAGAATGTGTTTCTTATATCCTCCTGCCCTACCTGTTCATCTTCATAGCCTACCTATTTACTCAGCTAACTCCTGATCGTTCTTTTTTTTTGTGTGTGTGTGTGAGACAGAGTCTCGTTTTGTTGCCCAGGCTAGAGTGAGTGCCATGGCGTCAGCCTAGCTCACAGCAACCTCAAACTCCTGGGCTCAAGCAATCCTTCTGCCTCAGCCTCCCAAGTAGCTGGGACTACAGGCATGCACCACCATGCCCGGCTAGTTTTTTCTATATATATTAGTTGGCCAATTAATTTCTTTCTATTTATAGTAGAGACAGGGTCTCACTCTTGCTCAGGCTGGTTTCGAACTCCTGACCTCGAGCAATCCGCCCGCCTCGGCCTCCCAGAGTGCTAGGATTACAGGCGTGAGCCACCAAACCCGGCCTCTCCTGATCGTTCTTAATGATACAGCTCAAGTGTCCCTTCCTCTGGCACACTCTTCCCTAACCTAGGTTAAATGCCTCTTTTAGGAGCTCTGTAGCTGAAACCAAGGCAGGGACTGAATAAATGTTAATTATTATGTCACAGTTGTCTGTCATTCAGCCAGCATTTCTGAGTACCTTTTAGGTTGCAAGACATTGGTGACAACACAAACAGACATCCTGCCTACAGGGCCTTGCAAACTAGTGAGGGAGATGGATCCATGTGCAAATGACCTTATAATGAAGTAGCATATCCTAGGCATCTTTGTAGAGGTATAAAGTACAAAAGCAATTCATGGGAAAACTTCTGACTAAAGTGATCAAGGGAGACTACATAGAAGAAGAGGTATATAGGCTCAGCTTCAGAGGACAGGAAGAATTTGGGGGGTCAGAGATGAGGAGAGGGGCCAGGTATGGTGGTTCATGCCTGCAATCCTAACACTGGGAAGATGAAGCAGGAGGATTGCTTGAGCTCAGGAGTTAGACACCAGGCTGAGCAAGAGTGAGACCCCATCTCTACTGAAAATAGAAAAATCAGCCAGGCATTGTGGCATGCACCTATAGTCCCAGCTACTCGGGAGACTGAGGCAAAAGGGTTGCTTGAGCTCAGGAGTTTGACATTGCAGTGAACTATAATGACACCACTGCACTCTACCCAGGGCAACAGAATGAGACTGTCTGAAAAAAAAAAGATGCGGAGAGGAATGTTTTCTAGTAAGAGCCAATAACACGTGAAAAGGCATGGGTGACAATAAAAATAATGGCAGTAAAAATTATGAGCACAGAGCATCTATATGATATAATGCTAAGTGATAAAAAAGCAAGATACAATATTGCCTATATTTACATCTGTGTATACTATAAAAGAAAGAATATTAAGACATACTAGAAACAAATACATCAAGATAACAACAGTGATTTTTGTTAGGGTGGTAAGACTATGGACATTTTTATTTCTTTTCCCTATTTTCTAGTTTTGTAATTTTATTATATAAATTTTTATTCCTTACCTTTTGGTGTTCGCATCATGAAAGTCAGCTGTGCCCTTCCTGTTCTTTGGTGCAAGCAGTAGAACTGCTTCTGCTTGGCATATACCATAGTCAGATCCAGCAGCCTCCATCTCTTCCTCATGTGAAGACTTTCTAGACTTGGGATTTTTAAGAGATGCCTATAATGTGGCAATAATACCTAATAAAAGCTAACATTATTTGTAATGTTTACTCTGTGCCAGGCATTATTTCAGCTAGTTTTTACAATAATCCTGTGAGGTTGATTTTATTGCTATTTATTGATTGATTTTATTGCTATTTATTGATGTTTTTTAGGCAGTTTTGAGTAATTTGACCAAGGTAGCATAGGTAGTAAATGATTGCAGCTGGTATTCACATCCAGGTTTGCCTAACCCCAGACTCTGAGCTCTGAGTGACTGATGTCCTGTCTGTCTGAAAAGGACCACAGTTGGCTGGGGACATGTGAGTTTAGGGAGGAAAGAAAGATACAAACAAAAAGAGATTATCTATCACACAAGGCAGATCTTGAGATCTTGAGAGTCATAGAATCGGTTTCTTTGACAGTAATTTGTTATTAAGAGTTACAGTTTAATCATCCAGAAGAGCGTATTGTATTAAATCTTTTTTGTAACCATGTACTAGTAATAAAAGTATTACATTGGGTTTTTCCTCACTCTTGTCAAATAGCATATTGCTCGGAACAATGAAAACTGTCACCATTTCTTAGCACAAGTTGAAAAGATTACCCACATGTCACAGACACCCTCTCTTTTTTGTACAGATTTGGCAGCAGTATTTTGCAGCAAAAGATACAGTCTACGCAGTTATTCCTGTAAGTAGTTTGGAAGGGAAAATGAAAGTGTTACAACATGAAGGTCAGCTCTCTAACCTTATCAGGCAGTTGCCTTTAGTTTTACTATGTTTATTGCCTCTTGAGAACTTGCATTTTACAGCTCTGAGGGTTTTTATTATGCCCTGAGCACCAAAGATTGGAAGCTCCATATGGTATATTTATGGCTCTTGTTTTTCCTCTTTCTGGTTTAGAAATGTCTTTGAGTCAAGTCTCTGACAAGGGAGTATGGTATAAGATCATGTTGCTGAGTAATTTCCAGATGTCTTTTATTTTTTTTTTGGTGTTTTCCAACCAAGCTGTTGGAATTTAAGACAGGGCCTCTAACATAGTTTTTTTCCCTTCTTGTTAGTGACCTATACCTGAGTTGACATGAAGCCTCTCCTAGTCTTTCTCTGGCATTTCCCCTTACCAAGTAGCATTGTCTTGATTTTTCCCTCTTTGAAATTGCTGTCTTGGAGATGTTCACCAGCCACTGCTTGACCTTTAAGAACTGTGATGGAGAAGGGATGCTACTGGCTTCTCTGGTTTAATGTCCTTTTGCTGATTTCCAACCATAATAAAGTATTTGAAGTACTGGGTTATCAGCTTGAAGAAGTGGGTTTAGGTTAAGTTTATATAAAGCACACAAATAATACTGAATTTATGTGAGTAAGTATAAGATTAAGGAGGAAAACATAGATGGAAGGATAAAGCCAGGCCTTTTGGTTGTGAGGGTATCACTCTGTGTGTGTGTGTGTGTGTGTGTGTCTGTGTGTGTGTGTCTGTGTGTGTGTGTCTGTGTGTGTGTGTGTCTGTGTGTGTGTCTGTGTGTATTTTTATAACATCTTAAACATACATACCTTTACCCTTCATGAATTCAATAGCCAAAAGTCTGCATTTTTTATGATATTTTAGATCTCTGATACTGACTCATTGTTTGAACAGACCTCAGCTCTGCCTCTGACTGACTTAGTAGTGACCTGACATCTCTACCACTTGTCAGAGGTCCCTGGAGAGTTTGGAGCACTGAAGCCTCTACTCTTTACATGTAATTCTGACAGTGAACAACAAAACATATGTCTGGTTTTTCTAGTCTTTCTGTCATAAGAGCGATTTGGAAATGATGGAATTTAAAAGATTGTTTTTAGTTGTATTATAGTTCTAGAATTCAGTCTTGGGGAATTTAAATGTGATTGTGGCCTTTTGTGTTTTCCTGTTTGTGAGTTAATTTTATTCTTTTTGGACTTACAGGAAGAGAAGTTTGATTTGATCTGGAATCGGGCTCAGTCCTGTCCAACAGTAAGTTTCTGGTGACCATGTAAGGATTGCTTTCAGTGCTGCAAACAAAACAAGGGTGTTTTCCCACCAATCTCATCATATTTAATAATCTCTCACATGTTATGATGCTCTGTTTAACAAAGATGCTCACATGTTGATCGTACTGATAAATGAGATGTTCAGCCTTGTGAAATTGTGTGGGTTTGGCCCAGTAAGCCTATGGTTTTTAGCTCTCTATCACATCTCAGCCTTTTCTAATGTGGATCTTAAGCTGTCAGTATAAGTGTATTTTGGAAAGTAGCTGAGACCTTAATCTTCTCAACATCTTTTTTTTCCTTGTCTTAATTTTTATTATTTTTATTTACCATATAATTGTACATATTTATGAGGTACAATATGATATTTCAATACACATATATAATGTGTAGTGTTCAAATCAGGGTAATTAGCATATCTATGACCTCAAACATTAATCATTTCTTTGTGTTGGGAACATTCAAAATCCACTCTTCTAGCTATTTGAAAATATGCAATAAGTTGTTTTCAATTATAGTTACCCTATAGTGCTATAGAATACTAGAATTTATTCCTCCTATCTAGCTTTACTTCTGTATCCATTAACCAACCTTTGGCTGTCCTCCATCTCCCTTCCTCTTCCCTGCTAGTGGGCACTATTCTACTTTCTACTTCTAAGAGATCAACTTTCTTAGCCTCTCCATATGAGTGAGAGAACATGTAGTATTTATCATTCTGAGCCTGGCTTATTTCGTTAAACATGATCTCCATGTTCATCCATGTTGCCACAAAAGAAAGAATTCCATTCTTTCTTTATGGCTAAATCATATTCCATTGTGTATATATACCACATTTTCTTTATCCATTCATTCATTGATGGATACTTAGGTTGATTCCTTAGCTTGACTGTTGTGAATAGTGCCGCTTTAAAGGTGGGTGTGCAGGTATCTCTTTAACATACTGATTTCCTTTCCTTTACATATATATCTAGTAGTGGGGTTGCTGCATCATGGTAGTTCTATTTTTAGTTTTTTGAGGAACCTTCATACTGTTTTCCATAATGGCTATACTACTTTACATTCCCACTAATAACAGTGTATAAGAGTTTCCCTTTTTCTGCATCTTTACTAGCATTTGTTATTTTTTGTCTTTATGATAATAGCTATTCTAACTAGGGTGGGATGCTTGCTTTATTGCTAATTTTCTTTGCAGTTTTGGCTATGCTATCCTAATAATATGTGCCTAAAAGGAATTATGAGGTTGTTGCTGGAGTAATGAGCTGCCAGAAGGCCTAAGGGAGAGGGAGTATGTGAACTGGACAGCTAACTTGGTGTCAATAATTATTTCTAGGGTTTTTAAAAATTTTCCAAACATTGCTGAAAATAAAGAATACCTAAGTAAATGAAGAGATATATACCATGTTCATGGGCTGGATGACTCAATATTGTTAAAATGTCAGTTATCCCTAAATTGGTTTCTAGATTAAATACAATACCATTCAAAAAATCTCAATAGGCTTTTTTTCTCCCAGAAATTGACAAACTGGTTTTAAAAGTTTATTTGTATACCCAAAGGACCTAAAATAGCTAAAACAATTTTGAAAAAAAAAACAACAAAGTTAGAGGACTTACATTTCCTGATTTTAAGACTTATAAAAATATAGTAATGAAAACAGTATGATATTGCCATAAAGACAGACATATAGGTCAATGAAACAGAATAGAGAGTCCAGGAATAGACCAACATATATGTGGTCAGCTGTTTTTCAAGAAAGGTGCCAAGAAATTAAATAGGAAACGATAATCACTTCAACAAATGCTGCTAAAACAATTGAATATCATGTGTGGAAAAAAAAACAAAACCTCTAACCTTACTGTATACAAAAATTAACTCAAAATAGACCATAGACATAAATGTAATCTCTAGAAGAAAATAAAAGAGAAAATCTCACTGATCTAGGGTTTGGCAAAGATTTCTTAAATATATCACAAAAACACTATAAAAGAAAAAAATCAATAAATTGGAGTTCATCAAAATTTAAACATTGTGGTTGTATACCCAAGTTCCTAGTAGCATTAGTCACAATAGCCAAAAGGCGGAAGTAACCAAAGTTATATCAAAAACTCTTATAACTCAATAATAACGAGGACAGACAACCCAATTTAAAAATGGACAGAAGGTGAGGTGTGGTAGCTCACATCTACGATCCTAACACCTTGGGAGGCTTAGGCAAGAGAATCATTTGAGCCCAGGAATTTGAGGCCAGCCTGAGCAACATATTGAGACCATGTCTCTATAAAAACATAGAAAAATTAGCCACATGTAGTGGCACATGTCTGTAATCCCAGCTACTTGGGAGGCTGAAGCAAGAGGATCACTTGAGCCTAGGGTTTGAGGTTGCGGTGAGCTATAATGACACTACTGCACTCTAGCCTGCACAACTGAGTGAGACCCTATCTCAAAAAAAAAAGAGACAGAAGATTTGAATGGTTTGCCAAACAAGTAGAGTAGCAGATAAGCACTTGAAAAGATGCTTGGTATCATCAGTCATAATTGGAATACAAATTAAAACTACAGTGAGATACCCCTAGAATGGCTAAAATTTTTAAAACTGATTATACTAAGTGTTGGTGAGGATGTGCAGCAACTGGAACTCTCCTGTACTGCTGATGATAATATAAAATGGGATAAGCACTTTAGAAAATAATTTTTTGGTTTCTTTAAGAGTTAAGCATAGGCCGGGCACAGTGGCTCATGCCTGTAATCCTAGCTCTCTGGGAGGCCGAGGTGGGTGGATTCTTTGAGTTCAGGAGTTCGAAACCAACCTGAGCAAGAATGAGACCCCGTCTCTACTATAAAAATAGAAAGAAATTAATTGGCCAACTAAAAACATATAGAAGAAATTATCCGGACATGGTGGCGCATGCCTTCAGTCCCAGCTACTTGAGAGGCTGAGGCAGAAGGATGGCTTGAGCCCAGGAATTTGAGGTTGCTGTGAGCTAGGCTGACGCCAAGGCACTCACTCTAGCCTTGGCAACAAAGTGAGACTCTGTCTCAAAAAAAAAAAAAAAAGTTAAGCATAGGCTAGGGGTGGTGGCTCAGGCCTGTAATCCTAGCACTCTGTGAGGCTGGGCCAGGAGCATTGCTTGAGCTCAAGAGTTAAAGACCAACCTGAGAAAGAGCAAGATCCCACCTCTACTAAAAATAGAAAAATTAGCCAGACATAGTGGTGTGTTCCTGTAGTCCTAGCTACTCGGAAGGCTGAGGCAGGAGGATCACTTGATACAGGGTTTGAAGTTGCAGTGAGCTATGATGATCCCACTGCACTCTAGCCAGGGCGACAAAGTGAGATTCTGTCTCAAATAAATAAATAAACGTATGTATATATGTATGTAAAGCATATACCTGCTATACTAACTAGCCATTCCACTCCTAGATATTTTCCCAAGAGAACTGAAAGCATATGTCCATACAATGACTTGTACACAAATGTTTGAGCAGCTTTATTTGTAATAACCAAATACTGGAAACAATCCAAATGTCTATCACAGGTGCGTAGAAATTGTGGAAAGAGTGTGTGTGGTGTGTACATTTGTGTACATAATAGAGTAATATTCAGCAATAAAAAGGAATGCATTATCGATACATGCACCAACATGGATGGATCACAAAATAATTATGCTGGGTGTAAGAAACGAAACCAAAGAAAGGACATATTCTATGGTTCCATTTATATAAAATTTTATAAAATATAGACCTATAGCGACAAAAAGCAAATCAGTGGTTACTTAGGAGCAGTTCAGGACAGAAAAGTATAGATTATAAATGGAGATTAGAGATTATACATATATTTGTTATGTTAATTATAGTTATGGTTATACAGTATATATATGTAAAACTCATCAAATTGTACACTTTAAATATGAGCAATTTATTGAATTTCCCAAAACTCTAAAAAAAATTTCCCTAGAAAGGAATCAGCTATCAAGTAGGCGAGGAGTTTATCTCATCTAATAATAATAAATTGGAGGCCGGGTGTGGTGGCTCACGCCTGTAATCCTAGCACTCTGGGAGGCCAAGACGGGCGGATTGCTCGAGGTCAGGAGTTCGGAACCAGCCCGAATGAGAGTGAGACCCCACCTCTACTATAAATAAAAAAAGAAATTAATTGACCAACTAATATATAGAGAAAAAATTAGCCGGGCATGGTGGTGCATGCCTGTAGTCCCAGCTACTCGGGAGGCTGAGGCAGCAGGATTGCTTGAACCCAGGAGTTTGAGGTTGCTATGAGCTAGGCTGACACCACAGCACTCACTCTAGCCTGGGCAACAAGGCGAGACTCTGTCTCAAAAAATAATAATAATAATAAATTGGAGCCTGAGTGATTGGCAATAAGACAATTCTGTGACTTATTAACTTATTATATTATATATCTGTGTATTAAACTTATTATACTTTGTTTTGCTCTGGTACCATTCTCTTCTCCACTACTTATCTCCAATTCTAAACATCTTGAGCATAAAACTAATTGTTTCTTGGTAGTTAGTCTAGAGCCATGCTCCAATATTAGCCTCAACTGATAGAATATGAAGTAATTATAGCAAATGGAAAAAAGGATTTATTTTTTTATTTTTATTTATTTTTTTTGAGGCAGAGTCTCACTCGCTTGTCTGGGCTAGAGTGCCATGGTGTGAAGCTAGCTCACAGCAACCTCAAACTCCTGGGCTCAAGTGATCCTCCTGCCTCAGCCTCCCAGGTAGCTGGGACTACAGGCATGCGCCACCATGCCTGTTTAATTTTTTCTATTTTTAGTTGTTTGGCTAATTTATTTCTATTTATAGTAGAGACAGGGTTTTGCTCTTGCTCAGGCTGGTCTCAAACTCCTGAGCTCAAGCAATCCTCTAGCCTCAGCCTCCCAGAGTGCTAGGATTACAGGCGTGCGCCACCGTGCACGGCCAAAAAAAAGATATTTTAGCAGCATTAGAAAGTTTAGAAATTGAAAAAGACCCAAGTATTCATCAAGAGAAGAATAAATAAATCCAATTGTGGTAAGTTTCTACAGTAGAATGTCATACAACAATGAAAAATTCATAAATGAGAGTTATATTTATCAACATGGATAAATGTCAAAAGCATAATGTGAAATAAAAAAGCAAGTTACAACAGGATACATACACTTTGATAAGATTTAAGTTTTTAAACATGCAAACTGTTTCTTATTTATGGATATACACATATACATTAAAAGTATAAAAATATGAAAGGAAATGATAGACACCAAATGCAGGATAAGCCAGGCGTCCTGGCTCCCACCTGTAATTCCAGCACTTTAAGAGACCAAGGTGGAAGGATTGCTTAAGGCTGAGAGTTCAAGACTCCCATCTCTACAAAAATTTTTTTTAAAAATTAGCCGGGCATGGTGGCACATGCCTGTTGTCGCATGGGATAGGTGTTAACTCTAGGATGGGATTGGAATTGGGTACACAGGGAGCCTCTGTTATATCTCTAATGCTTTCTTAGGTGGATTGAGAAGTACATAAGTGTTTATTATATTACCACATATGAATTTCATAATTATTTTTTAGAGACAGGGTCTCACTCTATTGCCCAGGCTGGAGTACAGTGGTACAATCATAACTCACTGCAGCCTTGAACTTCTGGATTCAAGCAGTCCTCCCGTCTCAGCCTCCTGGGTACCTGGGACCACAGGTGCACACCACTGCACCTGACTAATTTTTTTTTTTTTTATAAAGATGGAGTCTTACTATGTTGCCCAAGCTGGTCTTTTTTTTTTTTTTTTTTTTTTTTTTTTTTTTTTTGAGACAGTTTTGCTTTGTTGCCCAGGCTAGAGTGAGTGCCGTGGCGTCAGCCTAGCCCACAGCAACCTCCAACTCCTGGGCTCAAGCAGTCTTCTTGCCTCAGCCTCCTGAGTAGCTGGGACTACAGGCATGCGCCACCATGCCCGGATAATTTTTTCTATATATATTAGTTGGCCAATTAATTTCTTTCTATTTTTAGTAGAGACGGGGTCTCGCTCTTGCTTAGGCTGGTTTCGAACTCCTGACCTCGAGCAATCTGCCCGCCTCGGCCTCCCAGAGTGCTAGGATTATAGGCATGAGCCACCGCGCCCAGCCCCCAAGCTGGTCTTGAACTTTTGGCATCAAGTGATCCTCCTGTCTCTGCCTCCCAAAGTGCTGGGATTGCAGGTGTGAGCCACCACGCCTAAAAATTAAATGTCATAATTAAAAATTTTTTAAACCAAATATTGAAGAAATCAAATGAATGATACACGTAGTTGAATATAGAGCAAATTATTTCACTTATTCATCTATCTCCTTGTGTATCTGTTTCCATAGTTTCTGTGTGCTCTGCCAAGAAGGGAAGGTTATGAGTTCTTTGTAGGACAATGGACAGGTACTGAGCTCCACTTCACTGCACTTATAAATATTCAGGTAAGTGGTTTATGCTCTTCCTCTAGAGGAAAGAGACCTACCCCTTGATAGTACTAGGACACCTTGCTGAGGCTCTGGGGCACAGAATATCTACTGACTCCCAGCATTATTTGCTATAGCACTGATGAATTGTCATACTTTCCATGTTGGGTTAGTTTTCTAGGCCCCACTCAATACCTAGAAATTGAAAAAGACTCCAAAACACTTTCTCTGACTACTCCTGGCTCTCTTCTGTCTCTTCCCCTGACTTCTATCCCATTTACTGCATGTGCCTCACTTAACAAACATGGCTTAACAACCTGAAGTTAAGATGGTTATATTTTTAACTCAAGTTGAAGAGTCCCTTGAGGAAGGCTTCATGTCCTACGTGTGTTTTAGTAACCAAGTCAGCACTTTCCAACATGCTACATGAATAGTTTCCATTTAATGAATTATGTTGTTTGCTTTCTTTCTTCTTTCTTTTTATTTTATTACCAAATATTAGACTTACAAGTTAGATTCAAAGTATTTGAAGCTTTTAAAATGAAAGTCCGTATTTTAAATCAGATCATAACTAGAATTGGCATTCTCTATTTAGAGGCCAAATCTGACAAAAATAAGCATGTATTATATTGTCTTTGAAGTTGGTGTACAAAATAGAATGAGGGAGCAGCTTTTCACTTTTATTTTGTAATTCATCCAACAACTGTTCATTGTGTACATACTATAGTAACCAACATTTGACATACTTATTAATACTATATGCCAGATGTTTTATGTACATTGTGTCATTTAATCCTCATACATATGCCATGAGATAGTTACTATTATTATTTTCTATTTCTATTCACTGCTAATAAGTGATAGGGCCACCTCTGAGTCCAGGTTATTCGACTCCAGCATCTCTGAACTTAATCATTATGCCATTGTCTTGGGAACTATGTTAAGACCTGGATGGAGATCTATGAGACCAGGTCCCTGCCCTGATGAAGCTTATCCCCAAGTACAGGAGAAAGATCCAGAAACGCAATTACAATCAAAATGATTGTAAAATTGTAAAATATAAGAATTATGATGAAAACAATCAGCATACTATTAGAAGTATGTTCAATAGTACTGAGAGGCTGAAGTATTAAGAGTACGCTAGTAATAGGTATTGATAATTAAAATGAGATCCTTTTGTAGTTCATAAGCGTGATGATTGGGTTTTCACGCGCATGCGTGAGATGTGCCTCCCTCAAACCTTGTTACGACATCGGCACATTACCCGTCTGACGTGAAAAAAAAAAAAAAAATGACTCTTGCTGAAATATTAAAGGTGAAACCCAGAGATTTTTCTTTGATTGTATTTGTTTCCTTCTACACTATATAGAGGCTTTAGCTTTGAGCCCATACTCTCTTTCTAATCTAGACTTGAAGTGTTGTAGCCACTGCCCTGACCATTCTTCATGAAATTATGTTTCCATCCTTCTCCCCACACCCCCTACCCAGTTTATGTTTTAAAACTGCACATTACAAATCTAGCCCATGTGCAAACTCTTCAGCTCTTGCTACAGCTTAAAAGAGCTCAGTCTTCATAGCTAGCCAAAGGGAGTAGATTTCAGCTGTGAAATGTGCTAGTCCGTAAAAGAGGCAATTACGTAGGCACCTTGCTTTCTTTAGAACTTGATTTGGTAGCTGCCTGTGCCATTTTGTTTTTAAATGTATGGCCACAATGAAGGATTCACTGCCTACTGTAAACATTTTCTGGGAAAAAAGCCAAACCTCTCCCAGCTGAAGACACAAATAACACTGTGCAAACTGTCAGTTTCACTGTGCCTTTGCAGGCCTGACCTTGTCCCCCTATACCAGTCCTCCAACTCACTAGCCACCCAAGGGGCTGAATTTCCTCCAGACTCTCTATTGCTTTGAAATTGCAGTTTGTTGTGATGGTACCTTATTGAGCCTTGATAAGTGTTCCTCCTTGCAGACCCGAGGGGAAGCTGCAGCCAGCCAGCTGATTTTATATCACTACCCTGAACTTAAGGAAGAAAAGGGCATAGTGCTGATGACAGCAGAAATGGATTCCACATTTCTGGTAAGAATTAACTTTTACCTCTTTGGATTTACCTAGTGGCCTTGAAGATATTATTCCTCTGCCAAATCTTACGAGAGGTAAAATTCCAGAGAGCTACATGTACCTTGTTTCTTACTTACTTTAAAGTTGACAATAATTTTGTCTTGTTCAAGCTCTTTCAAGTTGAATTTAATACAGATCCTCAATCATTTATTCACAATTCTAAAATCCACAGGCTCTAAAAATAAAATTTTTTCATAATCATTTTGTCACAAAACTTCACCTGCAGCCAAGCATGGCAACTTATGCTTGTAATCCCAGCACTTTGGAAAGCCGAGGCAGGGGAATCACTTTTGGCCAGGAGTTCAAGACCAGTCTGAAGCCGGGCACAGTAGCTCATGCCTGTAATCCTAGCATTCTGGGAGGCCGAGGCAGGAGGATCACTCAAGGTCAGGAGTTTGAGACCAGCCTGAACAAGAGCGAGACCCTGTCTGTACTAGAAAAATAGAAATTAGCTGGACAACTAAAAGTGTGTATATATATATATATATATATATATATAACCCCGGCATGGTGGCACATGCCTGTAGTCCCAGCTACTCGGGAGGCTGAAGTAGGAGGATTGCTTGAGCCAAGGAGTTTGAGGTTGCTGAGAGCTAGGCTGGCACCATAGCACTCTCTAGCCTGGGCAACATAGTGAGACTCTGTCTCAAAAAAAAGATAAAAAGACCAGTCTGAGCAATATAGTGAGACTCCATCTCAAAAAACAAACAAAACCTAAACTTGGACTCATTTGGTAACTAACTCTTCACTTAAATTGATATGAAGACATTTATAGTCCTTATTAATCCCACTTGGTATGGAATAGTATGTATTTTACTAGGGAAATATTAATGTGTTTAATTATGAGGAGTTGTATAATAAACAGTTGTACAGTATCTGCACCCATTACCTTTCTAAAATTCAATAATTCCGAATCTAAGACACATCAGGCCCAAAGGGTTTTGCGTAAGAGAGTGTAAGTAAGAGACAAGTAAGTGACTTCCTAATTGTGAAGAAGAGATCAAAGTCTAGTATAGTTCTCAATCTTTTATCTTCTTGCATACTGTTCATATGTACAACATTGATTATAGATAGAGGTTGAAAGAATATGAAATTCATACACGGGGGGAAAAGAATTCTCACACAGTGATTAGGATATACAGAAGTACCTAGTTTGTGTATTTTCCCAAGGAAGAGAGAGAGAGAGAGAAGGAGGGAATGGCCACAGCACACAGAAAAAAGAAGGAAGTGCCTGACAGCTGAGGGAAAGTTTCTTAGAGTTTTAAAGTGTAAAAATGGCTTTTTTTTCTCTGCTTTAGTAGACTGATAACTGAAGTGATGGTGAAGTTGTTTCAGATGTTCTTTATTTTGTCTTTGTGAGTCTGATTTCATCTGAGTCCTTGGAATCTGGTGCTGGCAAGAACTGAAGTGGGGAGTTTGCATGCCTACTGTCTGCTTAGGGCTCTTCAAGGATATGAAAATGAAACTCTTAGAGATAACTAGTTAGGCCACAGGTGTTTAATTAAACAAAGGGTAGTTGTGAGTTTTCTCTTCAAAGGGTCAGTTATGTGCTGTGGGTTTATTTCTCTTACTTTCTGTTAGATAGGTTATTTCCCTCTGTTAGGTTATTAGTAAGGCCACCTTTCAGTGGTTTCTTTTCCTCCTTTTCCTATTCCCAGATGAGAATCACTGGGATAGAGCATGGACCATAATGCCCATAGCTAATGATGTCTGTTGTGTTCTCCATGCACATCTAGGTGCTAGGAGCAATTTATGACTACTGCACAACCTGTTTATCTACTCCTTGCTCATTTCAGTCTCATTTATCTGGCAACAGTTAAGTTCAGATTGCCCTCAAAATAGTGGAATAGAGCCTCTTTCCCCTAAGAGTCTTCATTATAACACCCACTTCTTTTTTTCTCTCTCTCTTACCAGCTGCTTAGAGGGAAGGAAGAAGTGATGTCATTCAGCTAGTATCTCCAGTAGCAGTAGGCCCCAAGCCTAGGACACAGTGGAGACTCTACTTCCCTATCTATTATTCTTGAAACCATGCAGTCCCATTTCTCCCATGCTTCCTGCCACTTAAACCCTTCCATTCACCACGTTCAACTAGAAGTTCCCCAACATGCTATCCAAAAAAATGGAGTTGCCATTAACTGAGATAGACAAGATTGAAGGAAGAATAGATATGGGAGGAAAATCAGGAGCTCACTTTTGGATATGTTAATTCTGAGATGTCTAGATATAGCCTGGAGTTCAGGGGAGAGGTCCAGACTGGAATATAAATATAGATATTGTCAGCATACAGATTGCATTTTAAACCAAGGGACTAAATGAAGTCACCAAGGCAGTGAGTAAAGACAGAGAAGAGGTCTGAGAACTGAACCCTAGAGAGATGAAGAAATATCAATAAAGAAGATTAAGAAGAAATGGTCATGAGGTAGGAGGAAAATTAAGATGATGGAATGCTCTGGAAGCTAAGATAAAATGTTTCAAGGAATAGGAACTGACCAAATCTCACTTTCTTGTAGGGAAAGTGAGATGCTAACTGGAAATTTACTAGATTTCACAAACATGGAAGTCACTGGGGACCTTAAAAGCAGTTTCAAAGGTGTGATTCAGTAAAAGTGTGATTGGAGTAGATTTAAGATAAAATGGGAAGAAGAATACACATAGAAACTCAAGACATTTCTGTAAGAGGAAGAAAGAATGGAGCATTAGCTGGAGAGGGAGAAGTGGGACCAACGGTATCTTTTGTTTTAAATATGGAAAAAAATAACATCATATTTATATGCTGATGGAAAGATCCAGTAAAGATGAAAATATTTAATACAAGAGAAAGAGGGAGGAAGTGGCAAGTCTGGGAATGAGGGGCTGATCTTTGCCAGGAGTACAGTAACGGGAGAGAAGCATAGTATAAGGACACAGGTACAGTTAAATAGATAGAGGTACTCATTGGTTGTAGAAGTTCTCTCCAGATTGCTTAGTGAAAAGAAAGAAAGGTCATTAGCTGAAAGCAAGGATAGAAAAATGTTGGACAGTTGAGTTGAAAAGAGGAAGTATGAAATTGTTGTCTAGGACAAAGGTCAGCAAACTATAGCTTGTGGGCCAAATCCAACCCACTGCCTGTTTTTATAAGGCCTATGAGTTAAGAATGTCTTGTACATCTTTAAGTGGTTGGGCAGAGCTGCAGGGGGGAAGCTTAAAGAAAAATAGTATTTCATGACATGTGAAAGGTATATGAAATTCAAATTTCAGTGTCTATAAGTAAAGTTTTCTTGGAACACATCCATGCTTATTTACCTACATATTATATATGACTGCTTTTGCTCTGCAACAGAAAGTTGAGTAGTTACAACAGACACTGTATGGCTCACAGAGCCTAAAATATTCAGGCTGTTCCTTTATAGGAATTGCATGCCAACCCATCGTCTAGGGGGATTGAAGAGAGAATGGGTGTGCCAGTACAGGCCTAGAAAGGGGAGACTGAAAGCTGGATTTAACTAGGGTTATGTTTAGCCAAGTGGTATAGTGAAGTAATCAAGAGGTCAGGAAGGTGAATTCAAAGGAATGATTAACGCCATGGAGTGGAAGCTGGGTAAATAGGAAAGTAAAAATATAAGGGAGGCTAGAGACAGTAACAATTGAGAGTCCTAGTGAGATTGTGGTGGAAGGATTGTTGGAGTTGGGGGTAAGCTAGGAGGATAGAAAATAATAGACAAAGTGTAGATGCTTCAAACTGAAATTTGGAAGAGAGACAGTTGCTGATAATTACAAAGTTTGATTTGACCACAGGAGTGAGTAACAATAAAAAAATTGTGGCCAGGCGCGGTGGCTCAGGCCTGTAATCCTAGTACTCTGGGAAGCCGAGGTTGGCGGATTGCTCGAGGTCAGGAGTTCGAAACCAGCCTGAGCAAGAGCGAGACCCCGTCTCTACTATAAACAGAAAGAAATTAATTGACCAACTAATATATATAGAAAAAATTCGCCAGGCATAGTGGCGAATGCCTATAGTCCTAGCTATTCGGGAGGCTGAGGCAGCAGGATTGCTTGAGCTCAGGAGTTTGAGGTTGCTGTGAAGTAGGCTGACGCCAAGGCACTCACTCTAGCCTGGGCAACAAAGCGAGACTCTGTCTCAAAAAAAAAAAAAAAAGATCTTAAAAAAAATAATAAGAAACCAAACCAAAAAAAATTGTACTGTATTTTCTGGTCTTTAGGAAAGCACAGCATCTAACTGTATTAAAAGTGGATCCTAGAGGTCAGAGGAGTCCCATTCCAGTTTTTTGCCATTTTTGCCACCTCATCCTGGTGGTTTCAAACTGCTGCATGGTTATCATCATCATTAAATTTTGCTTCCTGGCCTTATAACATTTGACAGCATATCAGACCACATACATATGCCTCATATAAATCAACTGGACTGTGAGGGTCCAACTAGAACAAGTGTAAAACTAGACATGTTAGAATTTATTATCCAGGTACATGATTTAGAGAAGAGAAACCTAAAAATGTAGTATGAATGTGTGATCCCCTGCATACTCGTGCATGAAACGTGCTCTTTAGGCATAGCATTTAAACAACTATGGTATAGCATTAACCTCAGATGAATAGAAATATATGGAAACTAGAGGTTTCTTCTGAACTAACTTTATTGCTAAAAAGTTAGTAGAATATTCAGAAACATAGCCCTGTTTGGCTCCACGTCTGTGTCAATAGATGATTTTATGGGAATGCAATAAGTACTAGGATGGAGATTTGCAGAGGGTTCTGGGGGATGGGTGGTGTCCCTGGCCCACAGGGAGTAAGAAGGCTTCCTGGAGATGATACCTGGGCTGAACCTTCAAGGATCAGCAGGAGTTTAGCCAAATAAAGGAAGAGGGGCAGGGTGGGGGAAATGTCCCAGACAGAGGGAATAGCAGTAAGTAGATGCTAACAGGCATAAAATGACTTGGGGTATTGCAAATAGTTTGATATCACTGGTATATATTTTAAAAAGGAGGTTTGGTGGGTTGTGTCTAGAGGTTTGGCTTTATACTAAGGGCATGAGTAATTAAAAGGTTTGAACAAGGAGTAACCCATAAACAGTGGGTTTAAGACCATTAATCTTGGGCCAGGCACAGGGGCTCATGCCTGTAATCCTAGCACTCTGGGAGGCCAAGGTAGGCGGATTGCTCAAGGTCAGGAGTTCGAAACCAGCCTGAGCAAGAGCAAGACCCTGTCTCTACTATAAATAGAAAGAAATTAATTGGCCAACTAAAAATATATAGAAAAAATTAGCTGGGCATGGTGGCACATGCCTGTATTCCCAGCCACTCGGGAGGATGAGGCAGAAGGATTGCTTGAGCCCAGGAGTTTGAGGTTGCTGTGAGCTAGGCTGCTGCCACAGCACTCTAGCCCGGGCAACAGAGCAAGACTCTGTCTCAAATAAATAAATAAATAAATAAAATAAGACCATTAATCTTGATTATTTGCTTCCTAAACATTATGTAGTTCAAGTCTGGTCATTGTGATCATTTAGAAGACAATTGTAATAGTCTGGGCAAGAAGAGTTGGTATAGACCTGAACTAGAGTAGTGGTAGTAGAGATGGAGGAGAGAGAATGACCGCAGGAAAATGTAGGGATAAAATGGGCAGGACCCAGTATACTGATTGTAGATGTGAAGATTGAAAGAGAGGGAGAAGTCATATTTGTTAAAATACCTCTTTATTGAGCAACACAGGGTGTTGGTATGTTTATCTTCTTGAGTCTTGGAAAGGGAGGAGATGACTGCTTCGTGTTAAGAGTCAAGAGTACAGCAAGGCCAGGGGTGAGAAGGGGAGGCCTTTCTATAACCCTCCATTAGAGACAGACAAACACATATCTCTTCTATCTCTCTCTTGTGTCTTACTCCCCACCCACTATACTAGTGATCTTCAAATTTCTTTTTAAAGTGGTAGGAAGAACTCTTTATCCAAACAAAATCTTATTAAGTAAAACCCCAGGGTATAACAGCTTAAACAAAGGTGAAGAAACCTAAGGCACTTTCTCAGAGCCCCTAGGACTCTGCAGAATCGTTTGAACAGCACTGTTGTAGTGTGCACACAACTCAACTTACCCCTCAAGCTTCAAATAAAAGTTGATGTCAGATGCCCTGCAACTCAGAAGCTAAAAAAGTGGTGGTAACTTCCTCAGATTATGGCAATGCACTTCTTTAGAAATGGTTTGCTCTTGGCCAAGCCCAGTGGCCAAGCCTATGATCCTAGTACTCTAGGAGGCCGAGGCAGGATGATCACTTGAGGTCAGGAGTTTGAGAAATGGTTTGCTATTGAGGTATGTGTGAGTTTAAGAAAAATAAAATTGGTGAAGTAGAGTTATCAATCTTGATCAATCTTAATTCTCTTAGCCCTCCAAAAACAGTAGCAAGGTGATTCTAGAGGTCTGGTCCTGGTTCTGACCCTGGGCCTGTCCTTGAATCTCATCTGCCTTGGTTTCCTGGCCTAGTAAATGAGCCAAGGTGATCCCTGAGGCCTCTTCCAGCTCTAAAATTCTATTAATTTGAAGTAGCCAGCTTTTTGGGAAAAGGCTTTTGATTGAAGATGCAGTCTTGGATTAGTGCTTGCTTGTGAGCAATGACCGGAAAGTCCCATGGAAGGAATAGAAGTGAAGCCCAGCCTATGGTATTTGTGAACCTGTCTTCATCACTTCTACAGCCAGACATAGCATGCTTTTGACAGTCAGCTCTTACTGGGAATTTTCCATTACCTTTTGGAGTTTGATTTTGGGCGTATAAACATGGTGATAATGGATAAGTGCCTCTGACCAACTAGAATCACAGAATGTATATGAAGCAAAAGTAAAAGTTGTTTGAGGTAATTCTTCGGTAAGGTTTTGAGAATGTAGCCTATGTCCTAATACCCCACCTTCCACCTTTGTCACATAGAGTGATCTCCTTAACCATTGCCCTGTTTCTGAGCTTTAGAGAATGTGGCCCCTTCTCTTCCCTGGAGCTTTGTTGGTATGTTACTTATAAATGCATAATAAATTACTTAGTGTTGTAATCAGCAAACATTTATTACCTCATAGTTTCTGTGGGTCAGGAGTAGCTTAGCTGAGTGGCTCTGGCTCAGAGTCTCATGATGCTACTGTTAATATGTTGGATGGTGCTACATTTATCTGAAAGTTGACAGGCTTGAGAATCCACTTCCAGCCCCACTCACATGTCTGTTGGCAGAGGTCTCGTGTCCTCACCATGTTGGCTTCTCCATAGGGCTGCTTGGATGTTCTCATGACATGGCAACTGACTTTCCCCAAGGCAAGACAGAAGCTACAATTTTTTATGGCTTAATGGCAGAAGCCATTATCTATCATTTTGTCATATGCTATTTTTTTTAAGACATGAAGTTTCGCTATGTTGTCCAGGCTGGCCTTGGACTTCTGCACTGAAGCAATCCTCTACCTTGGCCTCTAGAACAGCTGGGACTTCAGGCTCATGCTGCCATACCCAGCAATTTTGTCATAGTCTATTTGTTAGAAGTCAGTCTCTGAGTACAGCCCTCACTTAAGGAAAGGGAAATGAGGCCCCACCAAAAAAAGGGAAAAGTATCATAAAATTTGTGGACAAATTTTAAAACTATCACAGCTGGCTCTGGCACTACTTTTCTGACTGAAGTGGTATCAGTAACAGGTTTTATTCAAGTATATATCTGGTGAGTCAAGAACTTAGTACTCACTCACAAACTGGTTCTTGGAACTGGGTAACTATTGCTCTTTTTTTTCCCCTGTTGAGATATATTTAACAGTTATTAAGGAACTAAATGAAGAGGAAAATTATGAACATGTGCATTAATTTATTCAGCAAACATTTACCAGATGTCATTATGTGTGGGGATACAAAACAAGCTATGGTTTTATATCTTTGAGGAATTTGCACTAGGAAAGGTAGACAAAAAAGAAAAAGAAGAAAAAAAGGACAGTGTGATAAATAGTAGGATGGTGGTAAGTACAGGGTAATTTGGTTACTCAAAGAATGGGTACCTAACCAAGACTGGGGAGGTCAGGAAATCAGGGAAATGTTCTAGAGGCAGTGACTGTTGGGTGAGGGTCCCCACCCCCTCAGAACTCAGACACAAAGCCTTGTGGCCATGTGCAGGGAAGGATCTCATTACTCTTTTTACCTTACAGAATGTTGCGGAGGCACAGTGCATCGCCAACCAAGTTCAGCTCTTCTATGCCACTGATCGGAAAGAGACCTACGGGTTAGTGGAGACCTTTAACCTCAGACCAAATGAGTTCAAATATATGTCTGTCATCGCTGAATTGGAGCAAAGTGGAATTGGAGCAGAACTGAAATGTGCCCGGAACCAGGATAAGACTTAGAGCTATAATGCTTGGCCCTTCACCAAGTCAGCTCAGCCTTGGATAGTCTAGAGCCCACCTACCCCTCAAGAACTCAAAAAACTCAGCATCTACAATGAGCAGTCTATAATGAGCTGCCCTGTGTGCTTATGCAAAAAGTAATTGTAGAGATGAGCCCTATTACTTGATATTCAGGAATGAAGATACCTAAACATTCTGATAACTATCTCAGTATACTTGAGGTTTCCTTTTAAGTGTTTGCGGTTATAACAAGAGACAGCCAGGGATCTACAGGATAGTTGACTTGACTTTGTATAGTGCAACAGTGCAGTTGCATTCTGGCCATTTTGACCTCATAGCTCACAAATGATCAGTTTGTCATCTTTATTAACTTGAGACAGGATAATAAGCTTGAAGACTTGCTATGGTTAGATGTGGGCTTTATATATGCTTCCCATGCTCTAGTCAGCTAGCCAAAGGCATAACCCAGATGTCTTGTTTAGGTTCTAGAACAACCAGATATTCCCATCAAGATAAAGACTTTATCTAGATGCCTTTAGTTTAGCTAGTTCGAGGTATCAATAAATTTCAAGTATAGTTAGATAAACAGGTACAGTGCCTACATATTATTAAACCATAGTTTGTGGCACCTGCTTCTCTAACTGCCTGTTCGAAGGTGTGCTTTTGATGGGGTGAGTCAGTGCAGTGTAAGTAAACCAAAGCACTTTTATAAAGAGAAGATCAATCCAGATTTGCATGATTTTTTTTAAAACTACTCTAAATGTTATATGAAAAAGTAGGTGAAAGCAAACATTCCCAGATTTTGTGTGGGGAAAATGTAGCAATAAAAAAAAAAATAGTCTGGCTTACCATCTTTGTTACACATAATAATGAAACTTAAGCTATGTGCTATCCATAGTGTCAGCTGTATGGCCTGATTTTATCAAAACTCATCTTGGCACTCAGCAATTGCTAGGAATACCAGAAATAAGAACGTTGTTCTCCCGTACTGGAAACCCATCTTTTGTCTGTAGTGTTGCTGTTGTGGCTTCAAGCTCGGTGATAGAAGAGGATGGTGGTTACATACCAGGCTTCTGAATCCGAGGCCCCAAGTGCCCCTCAGTATTGTTGTTGACTGCCTTTACTATGCCTTTCCTTTATTGATCTGACATGTTCCACTTTGTCTGCTGCTCCTGCCTAAGATCTGGTTGGATGACGCTGAATATGGTGAATGGGAATTTAGGTAGTATCTGCAGTTTGTGTGTATGGCTGAGGCCTGTCCTCAAGCTCTTTAAATAGAATTGGGCTTCCTATTATTTTCTGAGCTGTGTCTTTTTTGTTCTACCGATGTGTGTGTGTATAGAAAGAGACAGATGGTGTTTGTTTGACCTGAAGAAGCTGCTACCCTTTCACAATTTCTCTAGAGGTCGAGCTCTTCACTAATGCAAATTCTGGACCTGCCTCTGGTCCTGACATTTCTATTTTGAGAAACTTGAGTCTCATCAGCCCTGCTATTTTCCTTAAATGCACTGGCACTATTCTGACTGAAGTGGTATCAGTAACAGGTTTTATTCAAATATATATCTGGTTAGTCAAGAACTTAGTACTCATTCACAAACTGGTTCTTGGAACTGGGTAACTATTGCTCTTCCCCCCCCCCTTGAGATGTATTTAACAGTTATTAAGGAACTGAATGAAGAAGAAAATTATGAACATGTGCATTAATTTATTCAGCAATGTTTTGAGTCCCTGGATGTTTGAGTCTGGATGTTTTGAGTACCAGAATCTTTGATGTCAGATAGAGTTGCTTTCATGGTTATCCAGTTATATTTGCTTTTCCCTCCAGATGGACCCAGTTCTTAGCCATAGTACATTTTCATAACACCTCCACCACAGGGTAAGAAAACAGGGTGATGGAAAAACAAGTAAAATATGACTGCTCATTTTATCATTCCTCCTGGCTTTGCCCTCAATCCCCACTTGCCAAGAATATATCCATGGATAATTACATTGGATGTGACCAAAGTACCGCTGACTGTTCTTTTTATTTATTTACCGAGATGGATCTGGTGAATAACTAAAAGAAAAATGTAACATTTAATCAGTAATTTGTCTTTTGGTGCTAGCATGGCGTTATGGAAAGTGGAAAGACTTTAGAGGTAAGTGAATCTGGGTTCAGATGTAAGTGTTGCTATTCATTAGCTCTACAATGTTGAATAAATTATTTAAACTCTCTAATTCTGTTTTTTTCACCGGTAAAATGGGGATGCTAATATCTACCTCATAGGAATATTGTGAGAATAAATTAACTTATCTATAGACTACTGTAGAACTTAATAGATGTCAACTTCCTTCCTTTTCTCTATTTCCCCTGCCCCTCATTAAAAACTAACATAGATTAACATTTCAGGTATGCAAATCATTCTTCATTCCAGTTAAAAGAACAAACCTTATCTTTAAGATGCAATAGAATCACCTAGAGCACTTTAAAATGCAGATTCCCCAGTTGAAAACCCCCTCACAACCTTCTGAATCAGATGTGTGCAGAAGGGGATGGGAATCTATACTTCAGTATCTGCTCCACATGATTCCAATAGAGGTAATCAGCCAGCCGTACTCTGGGAACCATTGCCTTATTTATTCTTTACAAAAATGTACAGTAGCCAGGTCTTTTCTTTCCTGTGGACACTAACCATAGGATTTAGGTCCCTGTGTTCTTTGTCTCCCATAGTGGTCCCCTTTGCATACTCTAATTACATTATTCTTGTGTCTATTTTTCCCCTATTAGACTGTGAGCTCCTTGAGGGCCAGGATTTATCTCTATTCCCAGTGCCAATGGCATGGCCTGGACCATAGAAAATAGTTGTCTGTTGAATAAATAAATGACATGGATTTTAGCCAAAACATTATCTTGTGTGTGCGCCTATATTTAAAGACTCTCGATTTAAGAGTATCTCTTAACACACATAGATTGAGAAATTGCTGAATAGGGATATTTATAAACCAAGATACCAAGTTATACACAGAGTCTTTGTGTCTTGCCTGGTCCACGGCATTACCTCAATGGCCCGCCTACTCAGTACACTTTAACACTTGTTCACAGAGCACCTATTCTGCAGCCATTATGTTAAGTGCTGGACACAGGAAAATGAGTAGGGTCTGATCCCTGCTCTCAAGCTCTGTTTCAGCCACTGCCTCTTTCCCTCTTGCCTCTGATTCTGTGCCTCACACCATACCTGCTCATAGTTTACCTTGTCTTGTTCTCAGGATATTCATACTGGTACTTCTTTCTTCTTGAACCAGTTTGAAAGCTGGAACCACGTGTTCTGTTTATTGCCTTCTCCACAATACTAACCTTCTGTTCAGTCTTGAAGAAGAGGTACTAATGCCCACTCTGACAGTCATTTGATTTAACATTGATTCAGCATTCATTCATATTTATTGAGCACCTATGATATGCCAAGGACTATTCCAGAAAACTGGGGAATACATCAATGAACAGGACAAATAAGGCCCCTGTTCTCATGTAGCTTATATTCTTGTGGAGAAGACAAATGAGTAAGCCAATAAAATTTTAACTTAGAAAAAAGCTTATTGAATGAGGATATAAAGAAAAAAAATATTTTTGTAAAACTGAACAATGTGTTTGTTTTATGCTGTGTTATAAGAGTCAAAAAGTTAAAAAACAGTGGCCGGGTGTGGTGGCTCACGCCTGTAATCCTAGCACTTTGGGAGGCCAAGACGGGCGGATTGCTCAAGGTCAGGAGTTCGAAACCAGCCTGAGCGAGATCCCGTCTCTACCAAAAGTAGAAAGAAATTAATTGACCAACTAAAAATATATATACAAAAAATTAGCCGGGCATGGTGGCGCATGCCTGTAGTCCCAGCTACTTGGGAGGCTGAGGCAGTAGGATCGCTGAGCCCAGGAGATTGAGGTTGCTGTGAGCCAGGCTGACGCCACGGCACTCACTCTAGCCTGGGCAACAAAGTGAGACTCTGTCTCAAAAAAATAAAAAAAAAGTTAAAAACAATTAAAAAGTATATAAAGTAAAAAAAGTTACAATAAGCTAAGATTAATTAATTATTGAAGAAAGAAAAATATTTTTTATAAATTTAGTGTAGCCTAGGTATATAGTTTATAAAGTCTATGGTAGTGTACCATAATGTCCTAAGCCCTTACATTCACTCACGACTCACTGATTCACACAGGAACTTCCAGTTTTTCCTGCAAGCTCCATTCATGGTAAGTGCCCTATATAGGTATACCATTTTTATCTTTTATACCATATTTTTACTGTACTTTGTTTAAATATGTTTTGATAACACAAATACTTACTATTGTGTTATGATTGCCAACGGTATTTGGCCCAGGAACATGCTCCTTGATTTGTATAGCCTAGGAGCAATAGGCTATACCATATAGTCAAAGAGTGTAGTAGGCTATACCAGCAGTCCCCAACCTTTTTGGCACCAGAGACCGGTTTCATGGAAGACAGTTTTTCCAAGGTGGGGGATGGGAGTGCAGAGCTCAGGCTGTGATGTGAGTGATGAGGAGTGGTTGTCAATACAGATTACAGATGAAGCTTCACTCGCTCCCCTCCTGCTAGGCAGCCCCCCACCAAGTTCCTAAATTTCATGGAAGACAATTTTTCCATGGACCCGGGTTGGGGTTGGTGGGGGCGGTGGAGCTCTGTGGCCCTGGTCCCTACCAGGTGCAGACTGGTACTGGTCCATGGCCCTGGGGGTTGGGGACCGCAGGGCTATACCATCTAGATTTGTGTAAGCATACCCTATGATGTTTGCACAACAAAGAAATTACCCAATGATGCATTTCTCAGTGTATTCCCCATTGTTAAGCAACACATAACTATATATATATTAATAATAACCACTAGCATTTAATGAAGGTTTACCATGTGCCAAGCCTCTGTGCTAAGTAAGCCCTGTATAGGGATTATCTCAATCCTACCAACAACCCTACAAGGTCAGTAGGAACCTGCTTGTGGGTGACATGTGCTACTGCTCTCCTTATACCCTCCTGCCCTCTCCCAGCTCCAGGTCAGAAAAGAGGGCAACCTTCCGGTGATCTCTAACCCCAGCTCCAGCAGTGAACTCAGGTCCTAAGAAGTCATGAGTAGCTATGGAATCAGCCCTGAGAAACATGTCTACCAATTTTCCTGCTGGTAACTAAAGAACAAAATGCAGGTATTATTCATCTCTGATTCCCCCAGACCATTTTGAGAGACATCATGTTCTAACTAAGGAGGGCTTCTTTTGTGCTCTGTGTTTAATTCTGAATAGAGCACTTTGGTCTTGTCGATTCTCCTAATGTGGCATGTTGGTGGCAGCATCTTTATCCCTGTTCTGCTAAAGGAGAGACTTGGGTCACAGAAAGGGAAAGGATGACTTGACGGTTGCTGCCTGCATCAGGAGGCGAGCCAGGACTAGGAGGCGACTGCCCACACTCCAGACTTCATGGGATCATTTGTAATGTCCACTGAGCAGGCTCATTGCTCACATTCACTTAAACAGGGCTACTTCTGAGCTCTTCAGGCCTTAGGAACTGGAATATCTACAAGAAAAATTGGTTCAAACCACTTATGAATCATCCCAGGTTCCCCAGAATGTTCAAAACAAAGTCCCTTTGGGTCAGCTAACAAGAGCTTCAGGATCCAGTGCCTGGTGACTTCTCCAGGCTCATCTTGTGCTAGGCCTCCATCCATCCACCCCTTTAGTTGCAGCCATTCTGGATGACTGGCAGTTCCCCAAACACTGCTCTCCCTACCTCTGCTCTGCTCTTTTCAAATACATTTGCCTGATTCAAATGCCCATTCCCTCTTCATCAGGTTAATCCTTATTTGTCTTTCAGAGCTCCACTGAAGCATCTCTACCAGAAGTCTAGGGTCACCTGGGTCATGTGCTCCTCCCCTGGGTCATGTGCTCCTCTGTGCTTCCGCAGCATTTTGCACTCAAGCCTTTGCAAGCCTGCCCCCCCACTAAACTGGAAACCCCTTGGAGGCAGGGATCATATCTGCCTGGGCATTGTACTGCCAGTGTCCAGCATGAAACCTGGCAGAGGGAGATAAGATACCCTGTGGATGCTGAATAAACTTCTCTTGAGTGACCACAAAACTCAGACACCAGCACCTACAAGCATCCTCTGCACGATGAGATCCAGCCCTGGCAAACACATTGTGGTTATGTCCCAGTCCAGGCAGCGGCCATTTTGCTTGCTCTTATTGCAGAGGCCCCATGTGGAAAACCAAGCCAAGGGGCCATCAGAGGAAGCAGGCATGTCCAGGGTTTGTGAGCAGAAAGAACTGAGAGATGAATGAACTTTTGGAACAAAACAAATATTTTAAAGTACCAGTCCAGCACATTCAAGTTCTTAGCTTAGCTTACCAAGCCTTAACAATAAAAAGGACCTTACTACCCAGTCACTAGTTTTCAAACTATGCTTCAAGAAATCTCAGAAGTCCCTTAGAGATGGGGACCTTGAGAGTCTGATCCTTATCCCAACTCAACCACAGGATCAGTGTTTTATCTGCCAGGCTTTGCAAAAGCTGTCATTTGAAGAAACAGTTCCCAAGAAAGATTGAAAAAACCCTGGTCTAGTTAGTCTAATCTCCTACTCACTGTAGTAGCCCTCTCTACAGCATTTGCAAGCCATTGGGCAACTGTTTGAAAACTTCCCAGGGACTAGAAGCTCTCTACCCTGCTAACTGATCTGTACCATGCTGAGACAGCTCTGAGTGATAGCAACTTCTTCCCCACCCCTAGCTGAAATCTAGCCTCCTCTCACTACTGTCTACCCACTACCTCACTACCCTGGGCTTCTTCTGCCTGCCATAAAGGGAGCCTCCCAAAAAAGCCCTCACTTTAATATCTAACAGCCTCTCCTATTGATATGTGAATATAGCTCTCAAGTTGCTTTGGCATCTTTTCACCAGATTAAGCAACCTTCTGTCTTTCCTTATATGACTCAAAACCCCAGCCCCACAGTGTCTGGCTCAACTGCTTCTCACTTGTTTCTGTAGTTAATCAGTGTCTAACTCACAGTTGAGGTCTACAGTTGAGCCCAAGATGATCTTGTGAGGTTAGCAGAGTGGATTCATGGTGACAATATCTTGAGAATTGGTATGACCCACATAGAAGTCATTTCCCCACCCTCATCCCCACTGCCACCCTCTCCTGTCTTCTCATGATCTATTGTTTTGTTTTTCTTTCCCAAGACAGAG